TTAAGTAAATTTCGCCGACTGCGTCGTCGTCGTCGTTCTCGTCGACCGATGCCTACGGGCAACAGGATATAGGCTTGAGATAAAAATACGTACGTACAAACGAACGAGAGAGAGAGAGAGAGAGAGAGAAAGAGAGACATACATACATACATATATACATACTTACATATATATATATATATATATATATATGTGCGATATATATATATAGGGAAATGGTAATAGCGCGAGCGAGGCACGTCGGCACCGCGGACTCGCTCTCATTTTAAAGTTCCAGAGGATAAAAGTGGGGGAATACTTTAACTCGGAATGAAATTTCAAAAGAATGGAACGGGCGGTGAAGGAGGAAGAGGAGGCGAGGGTGTTTCTCTCAGCCAGCCGGCTTTTCCTCTGCTGAAAAATGTGTAATACGAGCTCACAGTCCGCCTGCTCCCCCTCCTTCCTTTCCCACCCTCGTGAGCGCGGGGGGAGTACCTCTCCACGGCCCTCATCCCCCGCGACGTCCTCCTCCTGCTCCCGCCGGCGTACCCTCTTCCATGTACATTCCAGTTTCGCTACTCGGATGGCTGAGCGGACATATTGAAAGCGCGCGTAGACAACATCGGGGCTTTACTTTTGTGCGCGGCGTCGCGCTCGCCCTTACGAATATTAAACGATACCTCGGTGCTCAACGAGCCGATGTCGAAGACACATTTGCGGATTTCTGAAATTCGCATCGGCGGGGGGTAGGTGAGATCGCGATGACAAATTCGTTAGCCTAATGGGTATCCTATTATAAAGCTTTGAACGCGATCGATGAAACTCTGCCCGCGTCGCACGCCCGACGGTAAATATCGATTGCGAGTTCCGTTTCTCGTAAAATTTGTCGTCGTAAACGACACTACGATGTATCCCTTCGCGATTATTCGCGATGTCTCTCTCTACCTTTCTATCTCTATCTCTTTCTTTTTCGTAACGTGCTTCGAAAGCACGCGATAATGTCGCGAGAGTAAACCCCTATCGATCAGATGTTTCAATTACTATTATTGCTATATACTACTATTACGGCGCCGTCACGCGACGTTTTTAAAGCGTAATCTCTTTCTTACCTGGTTTCCTTTCAAGTCGTCGTCGTCACATACGGCAGGCTCAACGACGAGGCGAAAGACCATACGTCCTCGTTTGTCCAGTTACGCAAAGGATTATTGATTTGCAATCGGTCGGCGTTACTCGCGCCGGCATAGCCACGGTTAACTTCATTCACGCCGTCCTCCCCGGCCTTCCCGACTAGCAGTGTTCGCAAATGCGCTTGCATGGATATTAATTCGTTTATGCTTTTATCGGCCTCCACGGTGCATACCGCCAGATTATATCTAACAAATACACCATCCGATTTTCATCTCACACGCGAATACCGGCAACATTATTGTGTAACGCTGATTTACACGCTAATCTATTCGATTGCAATCTGATCGATCGCACCGTCATTACTTGTCAGTCATCTCCTTGATGTATTCCTCGAGATCGATCGGCGTCCGTTTCTCCTTAAAGTAGACCGCTCGCAACTTGTCGTTCGTATTAGACCGGGCTCTACATATATGAGCGAGGTGAATGACGATGCTCGATTCTACGCCGCCGTCCATACGTATTGAGACGCTTTCAGGATCCCGATAAAACAGTCTGTGCGCAGTGGAAATTGTTAATGTCCAACGTGAGTATCGGTGTGACGATATTCAAGTGTAAAATGCATTGTTCTGCTTTACCTAAGCTCTTCCAGCAATTGTTCGTAGATCGATCGACGATGCGGACAGCTCTGAAGAAAATTATCGTACTTCATGACGCAATCTACGTGCGGTGTACGATCAAATTTTACGAAAATATCGGCGGGATTGAGCTCGCAAAATCGCCGTTTCGCACTCCCGGTGTCGCTCTCGTTATCGCTCTCTATAGTTACGAACGCTTTATAGTACCTACGTATCATTTATATCGTGTTTTACTCTTGCAAAATGGAAATTGCTCGCTAAAGGTATCGTCAAAAATACGCAAAATCAGGCCCGTGAAAGGATATCCTGTTCGCGATGCCTTGTGAAACCTTTTTCGTGGAACATTCGATATATTCAATAAAAAGAATATGGAGTTTTTTTTTAACTGCCTTAAACGTGCCTTGTGTCGTCGCGTTTAAAACAGTTCACGATTGTTTTACCCCGCATTACCTGCAATTGCTCACTGGATAGGAACCAAAGGAAACATTGGGGAATTCTTTTACTACCATTGATAAGGCATTCGTAAACGCCTCCTCCCTGGCATTTATGAATACCTCATCTTTTACAAATCTCTTCTTCGTTGTGGAAAGTAAATCCTGCAACACGCGAAGCACAGAAAGATACCAATTAATCCGGGAAAATTTCCAAGAATGGTTCTGTTGAAATTACCTCGTATAAACCTCGAAAGGATCTTTCAAAGAATACAGGCGAACCAGGGAAAACGTATACATTCTCTAGTACAATGTACGGATACGCGTTTGGTTTGCCTGTACGCACGTTTAAATTAAATTTAAGAGACGCTTTCTTTGGGATCTGAAAAAAAGTGAATAATATATGTGAATAATGTATTAAAATAGTATTGTATGAACACATTATATAAGTACATTGTTGACATACCAGAGCCATCTTATAAGCAGGAGACAAAGAATCTTTGGCACCAAACTGATTTTTTATTATATCCACCAATTTCGGATGGTAATGCAGTGTATCATCGAAAGCTTTAGCAAGGCCTGCCAATCATCATATGTCAAAACATTTCTGTACATACATTTTTTCCTTCAAAAGAATATATATATTCACCTTCGAATGTAACATCATCGTGGGTTGGACCAATTCCACCGGATGTTAAGACATAAGTGAATTTACTAGAGGCATCCCTAATCTCTTTTGAGATTTCTTCAACACTGTCGCTGATTACAGAGATCTGTGAAGCAAATTGTTCAATATAACAAGATAATTCTATATGTATAAATTCTTATCATATATTATTAAAACTTAAATGATATTAATTAATAAAATTGTGATTCAAAAATTAGCTATTTACCTTTTTTACTTTAATGCCACATTTATACAGTAGACTACACATGTAATAAGAATTTGTGTCTCTCACTTGGGCTTTCAGTATTTCATCTCCGATAACTAAAAATATATAAGTACAATATTAAAAAAACAAAATAATGGGAATATTCTTAGCATATAATATATTGTTATTATTCTAACCAATTATCCCTGCTGTTGGATGCTTTGGAATTTTTGCATAATGGCTCGACATAGCTCGTGCGCAGATAATACAATTTCTTATAGGAATATGAATGAAATGCTGATATAAACTTGACATTGTGAATGTAAGTACTGTTAGTTATATATATGTACTCATATGTATATACATATATATATGTATAAAACAGAAATAAATACACTCAAAGGCATATTTGTTTTAATATTCAAATAATTATAAAAAATGTTTAGCATTTACAATAACACAATAATCTTGACAGCACATCAGTTCTTGACACTCCATATAACAGCACGTAATTTGCCTGAATAAACAATTTCAGAAAATTCAAATGATATTAATAGAATAAATCTCATACGATTTTAACAACAGTGCAAATACACACTCACTTATAAAATTATATCGTGTGTGCAAAGTGTAATTCGGTTATAACGTCCACTGATGCATTTACATATATTGCGAGCCACAACAAATATGGCGGCCACCTTTGGACCATATGCAATAATAAATTTATTCCTCTTAACTGCTCTTCCTGTAAGTTAATATGCACGTATAAATAAAGTCAACGAGAAATAAAGGAAGAATAAAACGTAAAGCTAAATATCTTCCTAACCTAAAACCTAAAGTTGCCACACTACCAGAAAATAAGATCTTCAGACTCGATAGTTGAAAATAGAAGACTAATTTGCGTTGAGCTACTTGGAAATAAGAGAACCGAATTCGCTTTAAGTTGTAAAACTCAAAAATAAAAAGTACGTCCGACTTATTATTGAGTCGTACTATGTGCTCGATTCCTCGACAAAAACAGTAGCGGCTCGTAGCGGAGACTTCGGAACTAATGTACAAAAATAAAGGGTCTAATAATATGGACACCTCTGACTTAGACCCTTTATTTGCTCTGAGATTCGTTATTTTTTCAAATTAGTTCCAAAGTTTCCGTATAAGCCGCCACTTTCCTTAACGAGAAATTAGCCGCGTTCAGCAGAACGTTTATTATTTTTATTTTTATTCGTATTAATATGATAATTTAGCCATCATTTTATGCTAAAATATATCGAATTATACGCAAACTGTTCAATTATCTCGGCTTCATTCTTTGGTTAGGAATTTATATGAAAAAATTATTTTTATAGAAAAATCAAGTCAAGTCTTTTAGAAAGAAAATTTTCAGCTTTCCTCTCATTTGTTAACAAATGTCATACACTAATTCGTTTGCTTTCTATATGCGGTCAAACCCAAAAGGACATTTTTTGCTTTAACGTTGAATAATTCAGAAACAAAAGATTGTATTGCAATCTGCCGGTACGTACATTAAATGGGAAAGTTTCCTTAAAAATTACCTAAATCACATTTGTATCTAATTTTTCAATTATGCGCATTACAATTCTACAAATTCAAGAACAAATTTTCTGGTATTTAACGGAGTTCGAATTATATATATATAGCATCGTGGAGAATAACATTTATATTCATAAACATATTCAAAAACTACAGATTTCAAAGTATAAAATGTTTGTTGACTCATTTCGTTATCATTATTTTTAGAGAAATTATAACCTATTGAATATTGTCTATTTTTCATAATTAATAGAAATCCCTTTTTATTTTTATTGCATTTTTAAGTTGTATTTAATGGCAAATTAAATAGTTCATTAATTTCCAAATAATACAACACAGTAGTAATTAGTTTATTTAATCACATTGATTAATCAATTATAAACATTAATTGATACATTAATATATCGATTAATACATAAACATATTTCAATATATGAAATTTGATAAAATATAGAGTCCATCTTTCAAGTAAATAAAATGATAATTACAATTTCTTACAGCATTTGTACTGATTAATTTAATTAATTTACGGAGTAGGAAGTACAATATTTTCATATAAAATAGGCTTGATCCGGCTGTTTGTTTGGGTAAATTAAAAACAGGCAGAGTTGAAAACCAGACAAAACACAACCCATGAAATTTGGTATTTGTATAAATTGATCATCTATCAAACATCCATATGCAAACCATTGACAGGACACTACCATAGAGGCCATTATGACCGGGAAAGGTAAGCTCTCTGTGTTTTTTGCCCTTATTACATGCGCCTGTGTAATAAATTTATCATATTTAATCGTTTAATAATTTATATTAGAATTAAATATGCCATGAAATATATATAGGCAGTCTTATTACCATATTATGTTTACAAATTTGTAAACGACAAAGCTTTATATTCTCTTATACTTACGAGCAGAACCAACGGTGACGCGAAGAATAATATAGTCAGACTACAGCTAAGAAATCCTATTTGTTTTGTAACCAAGGCCTCATCTTTCTGGAAACCACTATAGAGATATACGATTAAAATAAAAGTAAGTGCAGCCGCAAACTGTCTGAGGGTAGTACACCTTTTTAGGCTGTATAAAGTAAAAATGATGATGTAGCATATTTGCAATAACATTCCAAAGAAGTTTACACATACAACAAAAAAGTCCCTGATGAGGGTGCCATATCTCAACCATAGACTGCAACTGTAATCATAAAAGGTGATTATAAATTTTAATTACTCCCTATCACATACAATAACACTAACAAATATTATATACAAGAGATTGAGTACTTGTTTTATAATATTTGTGATACATACGACATAAAACATGTCACAAACGCCAAGACTGAGCTGTCTCCGGTTGTACCATTTTTAATATATTTCTTGCATACTAATCTATAAAGAAAAAGTGCACTTTTATCTGACATGTTTAATTTAATATCTTAATTCATTATTAATATATCATTACACTAATATATCCTACAGTTTAACGAACAAAAATATGATGTGATTGCTAAATGAGAAAAGCAAGCAGATATTACGAAATATTCAGTGAACCATGCCGTATGTTACATAAAAAAGGAAATATAATTATATGTAAACAAATAATTAATAATGTATGTGTGTATATGTGTGAAGGAAACGTTAGATTGTAAGCTATTCAATTAAAAACCGACGGAAAAAAGTGCGTCAAATGCAATATGGATAAACTGCTCCCGCGCGAGAAGAAATTCGAGACGCGACGGTAAATTCGTGATTGAAGATAACAGGGCGAGAGTTTAAAGATGAATAATATAAAGGTTATGTGTACGCGCGTCACTTACACGCCAGCTAGAAACTGTAAAACCGTGCAGATCGATGCGGATAACGCGAGGATGTCCTTAATCTCCGTCGAAATCATGGTTTAACGCATGCATCTCTCTCACATTGGTTATCATTTGACATTGAGCGCGATTAATCCTTGTTGTTTGACACTTCGTTCGCGACGGGACAGGTCGTGACGTGAGATATGTCAACAACCGGCGTCCAATAGGAGAATTCTAAAGTTCTAGAGACAAAGTTAGCCGATGCCCCTAGAAGGTAGTTTCTCTCATTGGATTCGAGGCATTACCCGTCGAACGTTGCGCGCGCGATGCGAGAGCTCCGCGAGCTAACCTAACCTATTCTAACTTAACCGGTCGGTACGATGGGTCGCAGGGTGGGGTGTTTCGCTCGTCCCTCAGAGATGACTCCACCGTTGTTCGGATTTATACGTAGGCGCGGCGGTACGAGAGGGCGGCGGGGTGGGGCGCCGTATGCTTTTGCGTGTTTCGCATACATCAGGGTGCGCGCGGCCTGAGCGGAGTGAGACGCGGGGAATGAGAGTGAGAAAGAGAGAGAGATAGAAAGAGAGGGTGTATATGTATGTGCACGATCGAAAAATGTATCTTCCGCTGTGGTCGAGCGCGGTATCGCGCACTGCGTCCGTCGTCGTCGTCGTCGCGGCGAGTCCTCGCGCTGCTTGAGAGCGGACCCGCGACACCGGGCCGCCGGCCGCCGGGAAAACCCGAGCGTGCTTACGTGCACACTGTCTCGCGATAGACAGGGGCCTTCCGAGTTCGTCGTGTGGCTAACGTCGCTGATCGTTGATTACACAAGCGGGGACTAACGGGGACCGCGAAGTCACGGAGGTTGTTTCCCCATACCCCCCTCCGAAGTTCCATACCGCAGATGGTCATCGAGACCGAGTCATCCGATTTCCATTGATCGTATTTATAGTGTCCATCCCGGTTTATTTTCGCATGCGGCACGGCCGAAAGAATATGCACCTATCCTGGCTGGCTGACGACGTGTCCTGATCGTAAGTGCTCGCCTGCGACGAGCAACAGAGTGGAGCCCCGATGAAATATAACTATATATTGTTGTAAGATTTTACATATATACACACACACACACACATACACACTCTCTCACACACACATACACATATACATGTCTATATACGTGATCGTCTGCGATGCTCGTTCTTGTGGTGGTATACGTACATAATATACCGTGAAATATCAGATTTTTGCATCCGCCTATCTTACCGTATCCGATTACGTCCGTTTGTTGGACAGCCTCGACGAGTTCGTGACACATACACACACACGCGTTATCAACGTCGCGTTACGCATCCGAAAGGCACCACGCGAAAAAAGTCGAGTGGAGAAAAAAATATATTCGAGGTATAACCGCTTGTGTGTGTATGTGTGTGTGTGTGGGGTATTCGATACCAAATGTAATAAAAGAATCTGACGTACAGGGATAAAGGGACGCGAGGTAGATTCTTTTCTTGTTTTACGTGCGTAGAATTAGTTTTCCGTCGCTTGAATACACGTACACATACACACAAACACACATACACACACACATTGTTCGTTCCAATTGTCAAATTTCATTCTCATGCAAGATAGAATCGGAAAGAGGGGGAGTGAGAGAGAGGGAGAGGTGGATATTTATCAAATTGTTGATTATTTGACATAATATCTCGCTGAAACTTGCAAGCCTTGGTGTAAAATTAATATTCGAAGAGAAATCAATAGAAAGACATGACAATATTAGTTCTCTGTGCATCGTCGACCAGAAAATAACGCAAATATTTTGTAAAAGTAAGAAAATCGCGAGTTGAGTTTATATCGCCAAGTTGGTTTCGTGTCTTTTTCCCCGCTGATAACCACCAGCTTATATTTGTATAAATTTGTCCTTAGCTAATCGTTTACCTGTTAGTGTGGTGTTGGAAGTGGATACTCCTAGCTAGAATTGTTACAATTAAAACAAAAGTTGTAAGGGGGAAAAAAAATACAGAATGGAATCAGCTATAGCTGGAAGAAGGCGGACTGCCACGAGGCATTCGGCAGAAGATCAAGCACTCGATCAAATAGCTAAGGAGGTATGACCTCGATAGAGATATGTGTAATTTTGAAAACCAAAAAAAAAGAGAACATAGTTACGCACGAATGTGTAAGGTCTCACTAAAGCATCATATTGGGAGGTGTTGGTACAGATAGTGTAAATGTTGAAAGTAGTGCAGTTACTTGAGTTATCTTTCTGTTCTTCTAGATGTATATATCTCTCTGTGCATCTATAGAAAACTGAATATTTTGCCATCGAGGTTTCTCGCTGTCACACTGTGATACCCTTGTTCTGTATTAGAGTTTTGTGCTACAAAGTAACATAAGAGTGCGCGACTTTTTTGTTTTTGTCTATGAGTAGCTTGAAAAAGAGCACAATTTCATATGGCAAGGTGGGGAAATCAGGACTGTCCTACCTGTTGTCAGAGCTTAAAGTAATAGTTGCATGCGAGTGCGTGTGCTTGTGACCGTCCACACATGTCCCTCTGCAATGGGGGTTTTTATATATACTGAATTATTTACTTACAAGTGATTTTTAAAGAGAGAGACACGTTAAAAATATTCTCATGGAAATAGTATGATCTTTCAAGAGACGCTTCTTAAGCACAGTTCGTAGTTAATTTGTATCTAAATAATAAGTAACCTATATTTCACATGCTACACTTTTATTTTGCTGTTACTTCATATTCTCGTGACATTCTGTTGAAGAAAATACTGTTCTAAAGTTACATTGAATTCCTATACATTAGAAATGTTACTTCCATAAATTATATATAAAGAATTAGATCTAACGTATATAATTTTATATTTGCACATAAATCACACATATTTGTATTTTCAAGTAAGAACAGAGGTAACAGCAAAACATTCTTTGCTGCAAAAAATTCACAATTTTCACCTTATCTGCTATTTTCTCTAATGATAGATATTAATATATAAAGGAGCTTTACAATACGGTGAAGTGTAAATAATAAGTCAAATGTAAATGTGTGTTTTTGGTAACAGGCTGGATTTTCCATTCATACTTTCAGGCAGAAGCAAGACTGGCTGCTAGAAGACAGGCGAGAGCAGAAGCTAGGGAAATTCGAATGCGCGAATTAGAAAGACAACAGAAAGAGGCAGAAGAGAATGCTGATAGAGTTTATGACATGTGTACAGGTAATCAAATGCGTATGAGTCACGCCACTTTCATATTCCGATCTTTTATGGTGATCTTGTTGGCAGTGAGACACCACACACTCATCTATATATTCCTGATTACAGCTGATGTAAACAGAACAATGAGAGTAACTCCGGATCCAGTGCGCACGTCGCGGCTTCTTACAAATTCTAACAATTTCCAATCGAGTCGTCGATCTTCGGAGGACTCCTTGGAAGATGCGGGACTAAGCAGAGATATTAGGGTACGTGTCTAAATTGGCCCAATAAAATTTTTCCTCATCACTCGTATCACGACACAAGTGTTGCAAGTTGCGTTACAAATTGTTCCCGATAAATATTAATGCACGCTCCTACATTTACACGCAGCTGGAATTAAAGGAATTTGAGGAAAAGTTCCGGAAGGCGATGATAGCAAATGCTCAGTTAGACAACGAAAAATCATCTTACGCCTATCAAGTTGACTTGTTAAAAGACAAATTGGAAGAGTTAGAAGAGACAACGGCACAATTACGTAGGGAATTGAGGGAAAAGAATCGGGACGTTGAACAATTGAAGCGTGTCAGTCAGAGATTGAAGGAAGATTTAGATTTTTGCAAGGCACAATTGTACGACAGGGATGAGCTTATAAAAGTACGTATATTATCAAGAGCTGTTATTGTAATTGTGCTTTTACACGATCACACATAATGTTTAAAGATCAATTATGATTTATTAATGAATCAGGAGAACGGTTTAGTCATCGTTGAATACGTAAGTGAGGATGACGATGATGAAAATACTGAAAATGGACCGTGTCACCCCAGGAGGGTACTAGTCAGTACAGAAGCTGCAGAATTACTAGAAACGGCTGGTAAAGGTTCGCTAGGTGTGTAATTAGTAGTAAATTTCCTCCGTTCTTGTTTAATACGCAAAATTCTCCAACGTCCCATCGTTTCGCAGATGTTCGACTGAGAAAATTCGCTTCCGAGAAGAAGGAGTTGCAGGATGAAATTCGACATTTACGGTTGGAATTAGAAGAGACCAGAAGTCGTGTGAGATCGGAGAGATCATCTGGCTCAGTATTAGGTTGATATTTTTATGCATGTCCGTTTCGTCCAATCGAATGGCGTGTAGTTGTCAGCGTGAGGGCATGTGATTCATGGTATTATCTTATTTATATGTCGATTGACATATATCTTTGTTACCACAGGTTGCTTATCAGATAATGATGATATTCAGCGTGAGGCAAATAAGTTGTTGGCGGATTATAAATTTAAGCTGCAGAAAGCCGAACAGGACATGTCAACTCTTCAGGCGACAGTAGCTAGACTGGAAAGTCAAGTAATTCGTTACAAGTCAGCCGCAGAAGCATCTGAAAAGGCGGAGGACGAGTTGAAAGTGGAAAAAAGAAAGTTACAGAGAGAAGTACGGACAGATAAGATATTGATAAGGAGGATAGAGGGAGGGGAGAGGGGAGATGTAAGGAAAATTGTAGATACGATTCGATTGATATCATTGTTCTTAGGTGAGAGAAACGCAGGGCCGCGTAGAAGAATTGGAGACAGCGAACTCCCATTTGCAAAGGCGATTGGACAAACTTAAAAATGCGAAGTCGGCCTTACTAAAGGAACTTTGACGGAGTGATGTTTGCAGAGATGTAGAATGAGTCTGTCATTTACTTATACCCCGAAGAGACGCCCGTGTGCCGATGTTGCCTCGATATTAATACTACTTAACACTTTGGATGTAGTTTACAAAGGCGAAGATTTACGTATTACCGTTATAACACTTTCACATTGTAGTGAATGTCAATCGGACGTAGAACCACAGGAAACCGCTGTGGGGAAGTTCCCTACCTCTTACATCCAGGAAGTCTTTGATACCAACTTTGTTACTCCTGCATTATATCCCTCATTAGAACAACGAGAGACACTTTTTAATGCATTTCACACGTTAAATTTTTCTACGAATTTATAACAGTTATGGAGTCGATTGAGAACTTCGTACTTTTATATAAGTGGCAAATGATCAAACAGCGCATTTGTTTCTGCCTCTTCTCTCTCTCTCTCTCTCTCTCTCTCTCTCTCTCTCTCTCTCTCTCTCTCTCTCTTTCTTTCTTTCTTTCTTTTCCCGCTCTTTTTCTCACATTGTTTCTCTCGTTTTGCGATGGATTTCACGAAGGAAAGAAAAAAATGATTTCAAATTACTAATATATATTTCTAAAAGCGTAAAAATATTTATATTACGATGAGCGTTAAATGCTTTTTACCGTATTAAAATTAATGCGGCAGAGTATTTTAGTAGTTTCTTCCTTTACCTATCCCTGTGATAGAAACTTAATAAGAATTCCGTAACATAATACACGCATCTAGGATAAGCATAATATTTAAATTTCTAGGCTAATATTGTAATTCCCGTATGTTATGCAAATGAAATCACAGAAACTTAACTGAATTTTATATATACTGCTAATCAAATTGCCACACTTAATATTTACTAAACATAACGTTTTATATCTGAATTGTCTCCGGAACTAATTCTTGTAACAAATTATCAACACATTCATTCAACAGACTGATGTGAAGTAAAGCAAAAGTAGGTGTACGATAGTGTGGTCTTTGTAAATTTAAAATAAATTAAAATATGTTGTTGAATATTTTTTGCGAACGTATGTTAATTATGTTAAATCCTCTTATATATATATAATGCGTGTTTTCGGATATAATATAAAGATGTATAAATAAAAGTGTTCTCGGATTGAGAGTAACGAAATATCGATTCAAATTTATAAATCCGGTAATTATAAGAAGGTATAGCCGAGAAATTGGAGCAAAAATTGAATAAACAGGATGCCATCTTACATAATCAAATTATAATTTGCTTTTGATCATAAAAACCAGAGAAATAACAAGAGGCATGATTCTTACATATAAAATATGTCAATATCTCATAAGAATATAAGATTCACGTCATATTTAAATTTCATTGTATGACATTTAATTTTTACATAAAAGAATCGATTGTTTAAAGATAAAAATTGTATTAAACAGATTCTTTGAATACTAAATCATCATGTATCACAACAACATACAAGCAACCTATCTTCTATGTAAGATTCAAGTTACATCATTCAAATTTTTTGATTTCTTCACAAGCCCTTTTAATCTAAATGGTTTTGGATGACTCTTTGGATGGTGAATAGACTCAACAATGTCCAGTGAATCCATTAAGGCTTTAAGGTCACGTCCATTCAAAAATTGTTTGATTTTTAATATAATCTCCAAAGGCAAGCCCTGAAGACTGGGATTTGTTAGTTTTAATGAATAAAATATATCCGTGCGTACAGGAGTGGCCACATTGTTCTTAAACCTGACAAGTTCATAGAAAAACAGTTTCAAGTTAATTTCCTAAAATAATGTAATAAACAATTATACATATATTTCTCATACCTATGTGATAAATCCTTCAGATTCCTATATCGATTAGATAGATTATTCGTATGTGGATTCACATACAATAGAGTCTTTATTATCATGCTATAAACCTTCTTGTTTTCTATATATGGATACATATTTAAGATCACTCTATCACCCATAGGTTTAACAATTAATTTTGATCGAATACCCGTCTTAAGCAATACAAAATATATCTCATATTGGCCCAAATCTTGGGATTTCCATTTATTAGGTATATGGACTATTCTTGTGTTCCAATATTTTCCTTTGCTATAAAAGAATGGAAAGAATATAAAATTCAGTAACGGTACTCATACCACATTTTATAAAAATCCATACCTTTTGTTTTCTGAATTATCAAAAGACGATCTTGAAGAATTATCAGAAAATTCTAGTTATACAAAAAAATAGTGGTTACTTTTAATATATATTAGAAAGGAAAATTAATTAACAGATCAAAAACTGTGAAAATTGTCAAGTATCTCTTACCAGATGTGGGCAATGTATAAAATCCGGATTCCGCTAAAAAAATTAGTAGCAAAGCGACAAGATAATCATGGTGTTTAGTTTTCTCAGCGTCTAATTGTTGTAATACTGCACGCAATGATAACGAAATCGCAGAATGTGTACTGTCTTCCGTTAATATCGCCTCTGATATCTCCACCATTCTATTCGGACAACTCAACGTATCCATTGCTTAAAATATTGTATGACGTAAAATATAAATGTAAAAACCTGCAAATGAACGTTAATTAATTTTTACATCGACAATTTACAACCTTTGTACGTGTGACGCACAATATCGGAGAATCGTTACGGAAAACATATAATTACTGATATTTTCGTAATGCATATATATATAAAAAAAAAGGGCGCGAAACATGAAATAGAAAGTTCCAAAGCAATTAACAGGTTGTATGATATTCGTGCCTAAAAATTACTCTTCCTTTCTCCCTTCAATGGACAATTATAGTAAAATCCTGCTAAATCATGGGGCTGTGTGGGACGTAAGGTAACCGCAAGCTTCGTTTGGCTTCGCTTCGACTATATGGACTGTTATATACGACAACGTTATGGCGAAATCACGCTATACGTTAGAATTGAAGTCGGATTAAAATTTGGCCAATCAGAGCAAAGTTCACTAAACTTATAGTGCTCAGACTGAGATCTAGTATTTATGTTGGTAGGTATTAGAAAGGTACAATGTATAGTAATTTCTAGTAACTTTTACATCCGGCCACAAAACTTTGTCCGAGATTTAGCATCGTGAAAACAAGGCCTTACAAAAGAGCAAATTTACTAGAATATTTATAATTTCACTAATCAACACCTGAAGTAAATTTGCTCATTTTTGTAATTTTCACTTTGTTTTGAGATACACAATCGACCCTTCGAACATGAACACCGACTTTTCTGTTCTCTTTTCCAAGTGTCAGATACTCATTTACTTCCTTTCAAGTGCAAATAATGCGACCTGGTACATTCACAAAGAATATATCTAATGAGAAATTTACGTCGTAAACGCGATTCATCGTAGGTCTGTTCGTTTCCGCTGCACCGCTGAACTAGTGCAATAAGTTGAAGTGAGAAAACATATACTTGTCTCGTGCGTTTTGGAACTCGGCCAGTGGGGGTCGACCATGTTCGTTTTCGCGAACACGTAACTGGATGTTTCTTCGGAAACATGGCCGACCATCGTGTTCTGCTGGTGCAATGAAATTTTGTGTACATTAAGGATAAAAGGCGTCTAAGATCGCGAGAGCAAGCGTCATTCTGATACATCATGTCCTCGATTCACTTCGTCGTGCATCCCCTGCCAGGGACGGACGACCAGCTCAACGACAGGTATGGGATCGTCATCCGCTATATCGGTTTTCCATTAGCGCATTCTTTAGTGTATGTGTACCTTCCATCCGCTCACGGCTTTTTCCGCTTCTTGCGGACGTTTCTCGTTGCGTTACCGCACGTATCCGATCCCGTTTCCATTTCTCAGCTTATCGCGCTTAACTGCGTGCACACGCACGACGGACACGCGTCTCACGTTTGACCACGTATTCGTAAGATGATATCACACTTTCTTCTTTAATGGCAACCTATAAACTCGACGCCAAGTGATCGTTTTATAATACATGCACATCGAGATACGTTGGCGAGGGCGATGCGTGTGTAACGCACGGTCGGTAGCGAGCCGTAGAATGCGCTACGATACGCTACGGTTAGCATATTGTCACCGCGAATATGCTCGGAATCGACTCGTTATTTGATAACTTGGCGTATATTCTTTAAGAATTCTGACCGATATCAGGCGGATGCGTTTCTAGAACTAGCCGAATTGATCATTCATTATATCATGCCCGATGTCTTCTCGCAGTAACACTTCATAGAACGTAATAACACCATGACGAGATATATTTTTATATGATAACATTTATGCATATTTACATATCTATTTATATATCTATTTTTATTTATTTTATGAATAAATCAATTAGTATACTTATTAGTATGCGAGAAGTGTTACTCTATACACGAATGTATGGAGCCTAGTAATATAATACTATAAACGCATCAATATATAGTAAGTTTTATCATTAGCTATGAAAAATTGATTCATGTAGCAATGAAAAATAAAAAATTTAAATTGTGCATTATTTATTTATTTACATGTATTAAGTATCAACAGCTATTGATGAGTGATGTGTTAATATTCAAATATTTATAATTGCTTTATAAGAACTTTATCAGAGATATTTAGTTCTAGTTCGCTGAACTTATGCTTCGAAATGCAATTTATCTTTATAATTAACAAGCGAATAAATTGTATTTTAAGAGAATTTGAAAGTAAAGAATAAACTGCGAAGATTCAGAAATAAATAATTATTTTAATTGTACCAGAATGTGTAGTCAAGATGAAAAGCTTTATTTTTTATTTGCTAAAATTTACTTGTATTCATGACGAGAAAGTAGAACATTGCTAATCTCTGATTTTGTGAAAATCATTAAATTTGGTGAAAGGATTATATGGTTTAAATAATAATATAAATCGGACTTATCTAAACACTTGTACGAATGTTTTTAGGCTGAGGGAAGTAGCAGATAAAATAAACAGATATGGATATGTAACACCACCAGCTTTCAATGGGTTGAAAGTGACGGTAAAACGTGTTGTAGTCGGACCAACGCATATTGCTCTTCTCACGGACGACAATAGAATTTGCAGAGTTGCATTTACCGTACTATCCGATAGATTGGATTTGAGTAAAAATGAACCTAACAGAAAGTAGGTAGAGAGGGAAGAGACGCGTGAGAAAAATTAATGATAATAATAATAATTAAACAAGTATGAAAATTAAATAGAAATTAACTTCATTGCTGGAAAGTACACACATATATATATATATTTTTTTTTTGTTGTAGTACAAGCAAGAGCCATGTTGGAAATTCTAATTCCACACCAAATGGAAATGGAAGTAGTGGTAGCGGTAGTAGAGCGGGTATATCGCGTTCGCGCGCACGTATCATGCGTAGTTCGGCGATACGTGGAGGTAGCAGCGGTGGAGGCAGCAGCGGCGGTGGTCGCATAGGACCGCCAGGAGTGATTATGGGAGGTGGAAGCGGCAGCAGCTCGCGCCCTATCGCGTCTGTGCCGGCTCCCTTCGTACCGGAAGATCTTATATCGCAGGCCCAAGTGGTGTTGCAAGGAAAAAGTCGTAATCTGATCATCAGAGAATTACAGGTCTCACGAATATGTTTGTTACATTGGCAATAAGAACGCGTCGCTATAACGAGGATATAGTAACAATAATAAGAAGATACACGAACGAAATAAGATTCAACGAAATAATTGTTGCTTCACGTTGCAGCGTACAAATCTAGACGTAAACTTAGCGGTAAACAATCTTTTATCACGAGACGACGAGGAGGGTGATGATGCGGAGGATGCAGCCGACAGTTATGTCCCGGAAGATCTTATATCGCTGTTAGACGGTGGCTTTACCAACGAGCATTCGGTTATAATCGACGCTGATTCTATGTTCTCCGAGGATATGTTTGGTTACGGCGGAATGCGAAAGTAACTCTTGAAAATGCAATCGGATTTTTACTGAATACACCTTCCTCAGTCGCGCTATTATTCTAAATCACAATATCACCGTTGCTTCTTTCAGTCGCGGCAGTTCTTCCCGCCGTTTGGTAAGCAACGATCGTGACGGTGAACGTTCGTCCGACCGGGACAGAGATCGCGATAGTTTTAGTAGATGGCGGGATCGCCAGTATTACGGCCCGCGTCGTTGGTTGGAAACCGCTCTGAAAGACTCGTGGGAGAAGGATTCAGGTACTTTGCGCGACGACTTGCGAGAAACCGGGCATGAACGATCAGGCACACGTGGGATTGCGAATCTTCGCTTGAATATTCCAGATAATAAGAAGAAGGAATTGGCCTCGCAGAGCCCTTTGTGGATATCCGAGGAGCTTGAATGGTGGCACGATCGAAGTAGCGATCCGGTGCCCCGTTTTGTACAAATCGCGGCGCTTTACAGCGAGCTAATCGCCGTTTCCGTATCGGGACAGTTGTACCAGTGGAAGTGGACCGAGTCGGAGCCGTATAAGAATGCGGAGGTTCTTACAAGCCGATATTACATACCCGACATTTCTCTCTTAATAGGTTCGCGTTTATTTATATCTTTCGTTTTTTTCCCCTTCTTTTTATAGAATCCAAACGTCCACCATCCGAAAACCATCCCTCTGGCATTGACCTCGGAGAAGATAGTTAATGTATCCGCTACTGCGATCCGATGTTCCGTCAGTACGGAGACTGGGAAGGTGGCGACTTGGCTCGATGAACTTTTGGGACACGTCGCCTCTCGTCTCGAGCATCCGGCGCAGGCCTTCACCGAGTTTACGCTGGACAAAATCGTGTCGCTGCACACGTGCGCTTTGTACACCGTCGCGAGACTCGAGAGCGGCACGTTGTATTGGTGGTGAGTGATCTTCTTCCCGGTTCGAATTTTTCACGTTAAAATCGGTCCCAGCGGCATCAGTCGAATCGAGTGTCGCGATATTTTTACAGGGGTGTTCTGCCGTTTGCTCAACGTAAGAAACTTTGGGAAAAGTACAAGGCCAAGTCACGTAAGCACAGACCATCCACCGTGTTGTCGAGCGACATCAGCTACGGGACACATGTATGCATGAAGAACAGTCCGGTTTATCAGCCAGGAGCTATTGGTGAGACTTTGCGCGAGATACCTCGCAGACTGACGGAAACGCGGCATTGCAACGCTCGATGCAACTTGTATCCCGCGGTCTTGAAACACGCGCGCTTTTCCTTTCCAGGATTTACAATAGCTAACGGCGTGCCAAAAGTCGGACAGTTACTTTCGGCAGCATGGAACGTGGACGCCACGTGTAGATTTAAGATACTACCTGCTGGCACACTCATACCTAGTGCCAACACCGACAAACGCGAGTCCAACGGGAACGGTAGCACGGGGGTTGTCAACAAAGCGAATCACAAGGAAACTGCCGACAGGCTCGACATGCCGCCTCCACCGTCACCAGCTTCAAGCACTTGCAGCGATACCGGCAGCATTACAACTAGTCACAGTAAGATTCGAGTTTATTCGCTCGACTAACCTAGGAAATGAATGGACTGTCGAGATGTTTTGTGTATCGGCCCATAATGAAACCTCCTCGCGTGTGAACAATTTCAGAACGGCAGAAACGTATGGCACCTCGGAGCGAAGGAGAACCGGAGAGAAAGGACGAGGAGGATTGGCAGTTGAAGGATGTCGTTTTCGTCGAGGATGTCAAGACTGTACCCATCGGTATGATTTTTTTTTTCTGCTTCGTGTACTTGTGTTTCCTTGAAAATTGGTATATTTTACGCGTGATACATCGATTTGCGTGATTTAACAGGGAAAGTTATAAAGGTTGACGGTTGCTACGTGGCTGTCAAGTTCTTCTCGAAGGACTCGAAGGAGAAAGAGAAGGAAATTAAAGAAAAGGACTTCAGTACGTCGGACTTCAAAGATCTTACAGCGGAAGAGCCGATGAAGCTGTTAGCCGATTGTAGACTTCTACGGAAAGATGAGCTGCAGGTAATCAAGTCGTCGTTGAATCCAAGGGCTCCGGATTGTTTCCAAAGAACACCTAGGAGAGTCAACATTGTCGAGGGCTCGAACGATAGTCTGTTAACTATATCGACCGATGGACAAGGTAAAGAAAAAACGGATGCGGGCAATCATTTTCAAATAACGGACAGAAGCCAATTTTCTCTCCCTTGACTAACGAAAACGATGTGTCCACAGGCATTCACGCCATATTAAAGAACGGAAATAAACTCAGTTACGTCGTGTACAATTTAAGTACAGGGAGATACGTACAGGATTGTTACATACCATCTGATATCTCGTCGTTTTTGGGCCTGCAACCGCAAAACATTAATCTCACCAGCGCGGGGGAGGTATGTCGCGTCGGTCACACGGGGGTATTTCCGAGTTAAATTGCGGACGAGACACTTATGCACGCGAGTCTCGGGGGGGGAGGGGGAGAAGGGGAGATTCTATCGACTTTAATATTTCAGAATATCGAGTGTTCCATGATCTTACGAGACGGAAACAACACTATTTACCCGATCGCGAAAGATTGCGCCGACGCGATTCGCGATCCGAATTGGCTGGATTTGGTTCCAGTGAATTGCATCGGCGCAGCGACTATCCCTATTCCTATCTGTTCGAACAACTTGAAGAATCAGGTGGCAGTTATCGCACTGGCATTCGACAATCTTGTGCTCATGCCGCGCATATTGCGATGTGACTATGAGAGCGTGAAGCAGGTGTTTTGCAATTTGGAACAAGATCTAAGTAAGTGCACAGACGTACGATCCTATTCGTTACGTCATGTATACGTGAATTGAACAAAATCGTCGGCGTACTATCGTAATTTCGGTCTTTCAGAGAGTAACTTGACGTATTCGCAAATTCAAATGATACTGAAAGAGCGCTGCGATGGCAACCGGAATATACTTCACGCTTGCGTCAATATGTGTTCACCGACTTCCAACAAAGAAACCGAGCAAGGTGATGTATATACTTGGTGTAGTGAAATCTTCGAGTAATCATTCAATTGGATTAGAATTAATAATTGTTACTTGAGATCACTATAATGACAGTAGAATCACTTTTCATTTCGATATTAAATGCGCTCGATTAACGTTTTGCATTTGTGATTCTCGTTTGCCCGCAGTTATCGAACGTGAATTGGTGTCGAATACGGTGGATGGCGCCTCAGCGCCTATTGAGGAACCAATACCGACGTTGAGTTGGCCGCCCGAAGCGTTTGACAATACTTCGGGAGAGGAAGACAGTCTGTTGAGCATCGGCGCTGCTAGTATATCTATGATGAACAAGTCCGGTGAGCGAAAATGAATTTGTGCATTATGATGCTACAAGTCGACAGATTTAATTACACGATGATATTCTTTGTCAATCGAGGTGTCGGTGCCGCATCCAGTAACACGTACATCATAGACTCGGTGGAGAGGCGACACAACGCATTACTCATATTGAAATATATGTGTGAGAGTATTATCTTAGCGCCACACATGAGGGAGCTGCTGACGGCAAAGTACGTTCACAATTCGGAAATATATAGTACATTTATGTTAAATCTATATATAAATACGACTGACGGCTTCTTCCTAATATTTGACACATTTTTTTTCCTTCTTCACGCGATCAGGGATGCTCAAGGGCAAACGCCACTAATGCTTGCCGTATCTGTCCGCGCATATCACGCGGCCCTTATTTTATTGGACACTATACAAAGAGTGGGCAGAGACGCGAAAGATACTTCAGCCATGATACTGCCATCCGACGCTAGCCCAGACTTATCTCCACTTTTTGTTACTTGTTGCAACGATACATGTAGTTTTACATGGACCGGAGCCGAGCATATTAACCAGGTATTGAGTGAACGCGCTTTGTGTGTGCGTGTATGTGTGTGAGAGGAAGAGAGAAACTCACTGCGAGATGGGGGTTTTAACTGAACGAGATTCTTCTCTGCTTCAAGGACATTTTCGAGTGTAGAACTTGCGGCTTGACGGGCTCACTGTGCTGCTGCACTGAATGCGCTCGTGTCTGCCACAGAGGCCACGATTGTAAGCTCAAGAGAACTTCGCCCACAGCTTATTGCGACTGCTGGGAGAAATGTAAATGTCGCGCTCTTATTGCCGGGCATCAAGGCGCGAGGTACGATCTCCTGTGTCGTCTTGTGAACAACACTGATCTCGCCACCAAGATTAACTCACGGTAATAAACTTGCGCTTCACGATGAGTGCTTCGCGACGAAAAACGCGTCTCTCGCGCCGGTTCTTTCTCAAGTAACTGATTCTCTATTTTTATGTTGTTCAGGGGCGAGAGTATTTTGTTATTCTTAGTGCAGACAGTCGGGAGGCAGTTAATTGAGCAACGTCAATTTAGATCGGCACCCAGGCAACGTTCGACTTCCGCTGGCCGTAAAGCACCGACTTCGGACGGTATGCTTTCTCCAGTAATGATTGACTGTACGCTCACGTAAAACCAACTTTTATACCATTATTTTCACGATACATAGTCTAAAAGTTGCTTTCTCTTGAATGTAGATGAAAAAAAAAGTATTTGCACATTCCACGTTCTTCGGGAGAAATTTACGCGAAGAAAATACTATCGCAAGATGTATATTTCTATCAAGATTATTTGTATTAAAGATTTAAGTTTGTGTAAAATGCAAATTGTATTTCAGTAAAGATTGCGTACGTGTGTGCAGATACTTTTTTTTTTCTTCTTCACTGTGTGTCTTCTATATAAAATCCTCCGTAGGCTTAGGTGCAGATTCAGACATGCCGGATCATGATCTGGAACCTCCACGATTTAGCCGTAAGGCTCTGGAAAGATTGCTGAATGATTGGCCAGCTGTTCAGTGTATGATCATGTCCGGTGTTTCCGAGAATAGTACCGACCAGTTGTTCGGCGACCAAGGGCAATTGTGTCGCCAGAGCGGTACCGCATTGCTAGATAAATTCACGCATTCCTTACTTGTTAAATGTAGTGCCGAAGTAAGTAGAATGGCGCGCACCGCGGAATCGAGTGACACGCAAATGTGATTCCCTTTTATACACAGATCATGCCGAACTGACTAACGAATTTTCTACTATTAACAGATGCTTGATACACTGCTCTCCACTCTGATCGGAGAATTGCAAGACGAATCCGTGCCTGGACGGCAGGAGGAAGCCAATAACGTGGCTCGCCGATTCGTGAGATCCGTAGCACGTATATTCGTTATCTTTACCATAGAAATGGCACCGAACACGACAAAGAGGCGAAGGTAAGCGGGGTTTACGTGTTCCTTGCATTTCAACGTTCTTTCGTTTACATCACGGATAACTTGCGTACGTTTTATCTGTGTCAGACTTCAAGTTCTTTCGGAAGACGGCAATTTCATAACTAATGTATCAAAGTTCTTTCCCGAGTTATTTTCCAAAGCAATTATCTAATTACGTGTCGTGTGACGAATACCGATGTGATAAATATTCTCTTTTTCCCCTCCCCCCTGCAGCGCTAGTCAAGCCTCGCAGCAATTACTCAAATGTCGGAAAGTCTTTCAAGCGCTAATCAAACTGGCTATAGAAGAATTATGCGAGACGGCGGATTCGCTGATAGCACCGGTCAGATTAGGAGTGGCGCGTCCAACCGCACCGTTCACCCTGACTAGTTCCGCCATCGAAGTAATCAACGGTTCCGAGGAATTGTTTTCCATAGAGCCACTAATACCTCACAGCGGTATCAGTTCGCAGACATTGGACGCAGCGTTGCAAACGCAGCAGGGAAATAACAATATAGCGATCGCAAGGGATGTTTCTGCTGTGGATGAGGCGGAAGGTGGGGAGGGTACGTAAAAGCCACCTTCGGCACACGATGTGGTAGTATGAGTGATTTTTCGGTCATTTAAACGTATCATTAATCGGCTACAGAAGTACCGATGGATATGGATGGTGATATAAGCGAGCACGAGGAGTCGGGCATTTCCGGGACCGCCGCGAGCCAGCCGCTTGGCGAGGTTGATTCCAACGCCGGTGGTGTAGGCGAGGAGCAGGCCGGGGACGGCGAATCGGACACGGAATTGGATCTTTTAGCCGAAGCGGAGACCGAATCGGATTCGGACGACAATCACAGCAACCAGGACGCGGCGTCCGCGCAACGCAGCGTGCAAACGGGCGCGACCGCCGGCTCCGACGGTGGAATGGGCTCGATATTGTTGTTCCCCGAAGACGAGTCGGGAGAATCAAGCCAGCAGGAGGACGATGAGAGCGAGGCGGGTGAAACGGACGAACAGGATAACGAGGAGTTTCAGATAGGCGACGAACAATTGGAGCGCAGAAGGTAAACTGTTCCGAATCTCTCTCAGTTGCACGTTGCTCGTTAAATCCTCCCCCTTCCGTTTTTGTTGTTGTTGTTACTGACTACACCAGAAACACGTGATCCATGAACGATTCGTAACGAGAAGATGTTCCGGATGTTCAAGATATGATACGTGTTATTTCAGTGGATCGTCCGGTCATTTGCATCGTAATAATCTCGCACCTGTGTCGATGCAATGGGCGATACGCAATCGTGAATTAAGTACGCGCACGACAGGATTACGCGTGACAGGTGGAAGTAATCTGGTTTTTATTGATCCTACATCTTTAAGACGAACCTCAACGTCGGCCGTCGCAACCACGCAAGAACCTATAACTATGGGGACCACCGCTAGTTGCCTGGCGCGAGCATTCGGTATTGTTATTCGACAGATCGCCGATTTGTTGGTTATGATGCAAGATTACAAAAATCGATCGCCATCGCCCACTTTGCCACGTGTGATGGATATCTCGTTCCAGGACGCTCTGAGCTTGCAGGTACGCGATTTACTTCACCGGCGACTTAGCTGAAATCGCATTTACACACACACACACACACACACACGTACGAAGTCGGAAACTGTAACACGATAGTTCTGCCTACACAGACGTATTTAGAAGTGCACTTGAAGCCTACTTGGGATTGGTTGCTCACGGTGATGGACGCTACGGAAGCGCAATTGCGATTCGGAGTATCTCTGACACGCAGCGCGGACCCGACCCATCCGGAACACCCTCTGAATAACGCCCCGTCTCTGTCCGGTGGCAACTTCAGCGGCTTGTTGAACACAGCCGCTCTCTCGCTGACTCTTCAAGGAAATACAGGTCGGAATCCTCGCAGTGGTATCGCTACGAGCTCGAATATCTCCACTCCTCAAGCTTCAACACGACTCACCGTTGGTTTTGCAGGCGTTGGCGAGCCTCCAAGAAGCAGTAGGGAACGCGAAGGTTTGCGTTGTCAACTATTATTAGGGCTACTCATGAGTATAATCAAGTATTTCATAATGAAGCGCTCTCTTAAAAGAATTTCTGCCGAAGAACCTCTTATTTCTTACAATCCCGATGATTAATAAGTCGAATATTTTATCTGTACAAATGGCACGTTGAGAAAATATCATTTACACACACACACACATACACGCACAGCTCGGTAAGAACTGATAATAATTTTGCAAATATTTGATCGTATATGGGTAACCCTGGTATTATTTGAAACTTTCCCTCTTACAGTACTTGGTCATGTTATCGTCGTCTTTCAAAATATGTTTTTACGTTTATTGTTACACATGTTCGATAAGATTTCCACGCAGGCTCCACGTGCAGCTCTACGACAAGCTACGAGGATTAACGTTGTAACGTTTTTCAGGTGGCGACGCGCACTCGGCGAGACGTGAATTCTTGTCGTATTGTCTGTCTTTAATGCGCGCTCACAACAGTGAACACAGAGACAGCTTGCCGGTCTTAGACGTCTCCGCTTTGAAGCATGTCGCGTACGTGTTCGATGCGCTTGTGTATTACATGCGTTCTCTGTCAGAACCGCTCACCTCCAGGGGAGAAGCTCAGAAAGAATCGGCGAGCTATTCGGGTTGGAACGATCAGGTTAGCGAAGCTTTCTTACTCATGCAGCTGGCATCGTCGCAAATGCAACATATCGCGTAATTGTCTTCTCGCTCTCAGGATGAAAACGACAATGACGAAGGCGAGGAGTATAATTCGCCAGCGCCGACTGCCATGGAAACGGATTCTGTGGATTATCCGGACTTACTACAAGTACCCATGTGCGGATCTGGAAATCATGGCAATACCACGCCGAAGGGGAGGAAGCATCCTTTCCTGCAAAGATCAGATTCCACCTTGTGCCTTGGTTGCCCGCCTCTAGATCCATTTGACACCGTCATGAGCGAAGCGTTGCCATTAGCTGATCAGCCACATTTATTACAGCCGCATTCGAGGCGCGAAGATCTCTTTGGTATCCCGAGACAAGCGCCTTGTTCTCAGGCAGGTGGATCCAATCAACACCCATTGGAAGGTCTACCCACAAGATTAGGCCTTTCCGCGCGTAGTGCCGACAGCCAGAACGTCTTGGCCGCTCCGACGTTTAGTCAAATTGTGCAAGGACCACTTTCGAATTCTTTAGAATCGAGGAGAAGCTCCGTCTCGGCTGGCGACTCGAACTCCGTCAAATACGTGGTAATCTTGTCTTTTCTCTAATAATATCCGAGTAAAACGCGCATCCTTATACTCTCTCTCTCTCTCTCTCTCATATTCAAACTGAACTACCACACGATATTTTTCAAGTGACACGATGGAGTTGGATCGATTAATTGGTGCGTCTTGTTTCAGGACAAATTAAAGTCATGCAGTCACGCTAACGAAGGCCACTCGTCGCTCGTGGCAGAACAAATTGATAGAGCGCCGATCATAGTGTCGACGAATAATCAAGGCGACTCAACGAGCACCAAAGGCAAAGACATATGCAAAACCAGCAGAAGCGTCATAGTTCGAGCTGGAGCTGCGCCGGTAAGTATCACGGGATCATCTTGCGCACGTCTGTCGCTCCATGAACACCCGATATGTACGTAATTCCTTCCCGCAGGAATCGAGCACAAATAAAGCTGGCGCGCCTGAGATACTCGTGGTGCCGACTGTGGAGACGCAAAACGTGTCCGAGGAAGTGGCCGCAACGAGCCACGAGATATCCGCTCATGAAACTGTGGAGACAAGTCCAGTTGAATCTGCCAGAGCGGTGTCATCGATCGGGACTAACATTTCGCATAATATTCTGCTAGGACGATGGAGATTGTCGTTGGACTTATTTGGACGCGTTTTCATGGAAGACGTTGGTTTAGAAGCCGGATCCGTGGTGTCCGAATTAGGAGGGTTCCCCGTGAAGGAAGCCAAATTCCGCAGAGACATGGAGAAGCTTAGGAACTCGCAGCAAAAGGATATCACCTTATCCAAGGTAATACGATGCGACGTGTTGTATGTAGATCGTTTTTTTTTTCTTGTCAGATTGAATGTAAATTTTGACTTATTGCTATGTGCTTCCGACAGGTGGAGCGGGATAGAACGCAGTTGCTGGTGCAGACGATGAAAGAATTGAACACACAGTATAACATATACAACAGAAGAGCCACGAACACTCCGCCTTTGGCGGTGAACCGAGTTAAAGTCACGTTTAAAGATGAACCGGGCGAGGGATCCGGCGTAACTCGAAGCTTTTACACCGCGATCGCCGAGGTTCGTGAGCGCGAAATGCAAAGATCAACGTGGAGTCGTCGCTGAGATACGATATATTTATTCATATTATTGTGTATTCAGGCGTTACTCGCGAACGAGAAGCTTCCGAATCTCGAGGCTGCGCAAGTGGGAAATAAGTACACGCAATTCAACGTGCTGCAGAAACTGAAAAACAGGGATCGCGACCGTGATCTCAGGCGACAGGTGTGTGAGATGTGCGATGACGAGTCGGATCGACGACGCACGCGACAAGTTCTTCAATATTCGCAAACGTAACCGTGCAATTTTTCTTACAGAACACACGCTCTTCCGGAAAATGTCGCGAGTCGCGTCGAGCCTTGTCCTTCGACGCCCGTTCCTTCCACCCGTCGAGCGCGATCGAGGGGAACAACAGCTCGGGATCCGGCAGTTCGTCGTCCAACGCTCATCCCATGCCGACGATCAACCATGCCAACAACGACCATCTGTCCGTGCATCAACAACAGCTTGGGGACAGGCTGTACCCTAAGGTTTCAAGCCACACGCCTGTATAAAGCATTTCATTTATACAGGGTGGACCATTTTAACACCCCCATCTGAATACTTTTTTTCCTACATTCTCTTTTCTTTTTTTTTTCTTTTTTTCTTAGTAAAAGATGATTCCGCTAAAAGTTGTAGGGTTTCGTGGAGGGTCGATATTATATCCCCCTCGAAACTCGACAGCTTTTTGTCCGAAGCATTTTTTGGTGAAAGGTGTAAGAAGAAAGATATTTAGGTGAGGACATTAAAATTGCCCATCTTCTACGTGTTCCTTCAGTGAAGAGTGCGATCTCAATCGCCTTTGGTAGATTTCCCGTTTTACGCACGATGATCACTCGCTTGATACAGGTACACGCTTTACGACCGGCGGTGGCTGAGAAAATAACTGGTATGCTGCTGGAATTATCACCGGCCCAGTTGCTGATGCTGCTCGCCTCGGAGGACGCTCTCCGACAGAAAGTGGAGGAAGCATTCGAATTGATTCACAGTCACAATCAGGACTTGACCAGCGAGGCGTTGCTGGACCTCGATGTGTTTAGCTTGACCGAGAGATGCGCGGCGAAAAAGAAAATGGAGAACAGCATTTTAGACGACACCGAGGATAACGCACCACTTTTTTATTCTCCCGGTAAACGTGGTTTTTATACACCGAGACAAGGCAGAGGCAGTTACGAACGGTTAAACGCCTTCAGGAATGTAGGCAGGTGAGTGGCTCGGCCGATTCTTGACTGCGACCGACGAGGCGTATCCTCGCGTGTGTGCGCGAACTCACGAAACCGTCTCCGTTACTTTTCAGACTCATAGGATTGTGTCTTTTACAAAACGAGCTGTGCCCGCTATTTTTGAATCGCCATGTAATTAAATATATCCTAGGAAGGCCTATACGTTTCCACGATCTTGCATTTTTCGACTCTGTTATTTACGAAAGCTTGAGACAACTGGTCATCGATGCTGAAACGAAGGACAGCAACAGCTTGTTCTCTGCGTTGGATCTTACATTCAGGTCTCGACTCTTCTTCTCTCTTCCGAATATTTGTTTCTCTTTAAAGATACACCGTTTGTGCACGACTCGAAAGAGAGATATCCGAACCGAACGTCATTTTGCGTTTCAGTATTGATTTGTGTCCCGAGGAAGGAGGTGGCTCAATCGAACTTACGCCCAGTGGCCGCGACGTGGAAGTAACCGCGAATAATGTATACGATTATGTGCGCAAGTACGCTGAAGTTCGTATGATCAAGGTGCAGGAGAAGGCCTTGCACGCTATGCGCGAAGGAGTCTTCGATGTCCTTCCCGATGGTGCACTCGACGGTTTAACCTCCGAGGACTTGCGGCTTCTCCTAAACGGGGTCGGTGACATCAACGTATCGGTTCTGATATCGTATACGTCATTTAACGACGAGTCCGGCGAGTCGACGGAGAGATTAGTTAAATTTAAACGGTGGTTGTGGTCGATCGTCGAGAAAATGTCCCACGTGGAGAGGCAAGACTTGGTAAGAAATTCTCATCAAACCGGTTTCTAGGATCAATCTTGAGAGACGCGTAGAGTTTGAAAGTTTTTGACGGCGATCGCGTCGCACGTATCTGTCGCACTCATGTCGCATTAATGTGCACGTATCGCAGGTATATTTTTGGACTGGATCCCCGGCGTTACCAGCGAGCGAAGACGGTTTTCAGCCGATGCCTAGTGTAACTATTCGGCCAGCCGACGATGTGCACCTACCAACCGCGAACACATGTATCTCTCGACTATACGTTCCATTGTACAGCTCTCGTCACGTTTTACGACATAAATTACTTCTCGCTATCAAAACAAAGAACTTCGGATTTGTATGAATTCGTGTTGTGACTGTTTGTGAGTAACAGTTCCAAAAAAAAAAAAAAAAANAGGTTAAACGCTGTTATTTTTTTCCTTCCTTTAGAAGAAAATTTATAACATTTATAAATTTATAAGGTATAATTATAAATTATGATTTTTGTTGTTCCAAAATGCGGTCTTCATCTTAGTAAGGCTTTATGTTAAAGTGTCATACTTAGTCTTTATAGCGACTGAATAAAATTTTCTCTAAAACCATACAGTATGTCGTGTGTGTGCTTTACTTACCAGTCGGTATCTCGCACTTTATACGCCACGCTTCGTTCGAATGACAATTTAATACAATACTTCATAACGAGAACTTTTCTTACATTTTAATATTATATGTATCTTCGTTATGTATAATTCATATATATATATTTCTTTCCGTATAAGATATATTGCAACCTCACACCAAGAATTTTGACAATCATAATACAATTAAAAATCTTTTTTATTAGGCATTTTTAAAATGTAACATAAGATGTTGACAGGAAATTGCAGGTTTTTTGATGCACACCAATAGTAAGTTTCTTGGATATCGGCTTGATGATTACAATATATATGTATATATATATATATATATATATAACTTTAAAAACCAGGCTACAACACGAATATCAGATTATAAAATATGAGATTTGATATATTCAAAAGTGACAAACGTTAGCAAAATTTACCACCAATATCTATTTCAATTAACAAAAGGGCTGGAAAATTAATTAGAAATTAAATGTATGATATAAGCAATACTGTAGAAGAGTTATTAGATATTTACCTTCATTCGATTTGCCAATTACTCTATATTCGTTTCAAAATTTGCAAGTTAAATTAGCTAAACATTAAAACAACAGGAAACGTAATCTAGGAATGTTAAGCTGCCTATTCCGCCGTACTGTTACTTCGTTTTAACGTGTTGGGGAATCGTGTTTCTAATGTAAAATAATGCCAACTCTGTCACTAACGCTGCTTAGTCTTGGCATGCACTCATATATGTCTCAGTTTCTGTCTAGAATCATAACGATATACATGTCCAAAATGATACTTTTTACCATTTTGAAAGAATTTTCAAATTTACAGCTTTAAGTATATTTCCTAAAAAATAAACTGAAATAGTAAAAAATAATTCGTTACCTTTAATTTACTTAAAAAAAATGTCTAATACTAATATATATTTATATATAATAAATCTCATTATTTTTATAAATTTCTAAAAATCGTAAAGTTATATACAATAATTATATTATCCATTATTTACTTGACAAAGTATCGATAGAAACTTATGTACAATGGATACCTATTAACCACTTCCTGAACTGTTTTGGGGTAATTTTGCTGTCGATTGACTCAATTGAGCCAGAGTTTCTGGAGTTGCGTGTGCTTTTAATATTGAATTTTCCGCTTCCAATTGATTGATACGATCCATTAGTTCGGCTATTTTTTCTTTCAGTACCTCGACTTCTTCTCGTACCGCAAACATTAAATGACTTTTAACCAGATCCTAGAAAAGACGACAGTTTATTCGAGCGTTATCAGCGTTCGTCGAGTTAACGCGCGAGTTAATCAGTTTAACTTGATTAAAGTAACATCTCACCATAGCCTGCTCGATCTTGTTATCAATCGCTACAGCGCTTGTCCCAGACATACTGCAATACAGACTCGCTCATAAGATTTATATGCAAACAGAGAGGAACCGAGAAAAGCAAAATTACAATATAAAGGAAACGGTAAGCTCGGAAAGACACCACGTGTGTATTGTCATCGACGATACGTCTCTCTCGTTCGATCACTCACTCGCTCCTATTCTTACCGTCTCGGCACGTTTATATAAATAGGCTGAATTAATTGAGACGGTACCTTTCGTTATCTTCGAGGGCACGATGCTCGTCGCTGCCTTGCGTCACTTCGGCCAACGATTCCAACAGAGTCGCGTCGGCGGCGGCGGACTGAGCAGCGTTGGCGACTATGCCGGAGATGGACTCCTGCTCCGGATCGGACTGGTGGAAGGCGATGCCGCCCTGCTGCAGACCGCCGACGACGTTCTGGGTGATCTGCACCGGGGCGGTGCTGCTGGACGTCTGCGGCTGCATCTGGCCCACCGGCGCCCCGGCGGGGTGAATCGTCGACGAGGGCTGCTGCGCCCCGGTCTGAGGAACCTTATGAATACTCTGCATGCCCTGCATCCCTTGTATGGCAGTTAGTGGCTCGGAGATTTGGCTCATCGGCGTCTGCGTCTGCAAAGGCTGTCCGGTCTCGGTCTGGTGCTGCGTCACGAGGATGTTGGGCGCCTGCGAGCTCGGCGCCGGCTGGGCGGCCTGCTGCTGCACCACCGACTGCATGGATTGATTCTGCGCGCTCACCGTCACGTACGCCTCCTCCTTGGCGTGCGCGATGCCCTGCTGCTGCGGCGTGCTGCTACTAGTCTGCGTTATAATGGGAATAGAACCCTGCGGCATGCTCTGCGGCTGGCCCAGGCTGCTGGGGTGAGCGGGCTGCAAGTTGGAGGGCAACGTGGAGCCTTGGGCACCCTGAGGCGGCTGCGGCTGCGCTTGTTGAGCGGCTATCGGCTGGGTCTGCGACTGAAAGTACTGCGGGATCTGCGCGGTGGGCACCTTCGCCTGAACCTGCGTGGGATTATGCTGTACATTGGGGGGGATCGAGTTGCTCACCGCGTAGCCCGCGCTCGGCACCGACGCGGCATTGCTCGGCACAGTAATGGACGTATGCACTGTGTCCGGGTGTGAGCTCGTCACTTGTCCATTGCTATCGATATTAATCCCCTTATCGTCGGACACTACTACCGTTTGCTTCGTAGCCTCTGGTACGACGATCCCGCTGTCGGTCACCCCGTAGGATATGCACACCTCGTTCGGATCGGACACTTTCGGGGTACCGATGGCCGTCGGCTGGTTCACGGACGTGTGGTCCAGGTAGTCCATGCAGGTCCATCGTCCCCTCTTGAACGGCTCCGTGCTCTCGATTTTCACCACTTTGAAACGCTCGTTCCTACCGTGAGAGTGTACCTCCCGCAGGTCGGCGTCCTGCTTCACGTTGCTCGACAGCAAGTTGATGATGTTGTTGTCGGTAACGGACGTAATGTCCAGGGTACTGATATTGCTATCGTTCACCGAATTACTAACGTTGCCGCCCTCGGACGGCACGATGGCCAGGCCGTACTGCGAGCTGGTGGGAATCACCGGGGCGGTGCTGAGCGCGGCGTTGCTCGTGTTGAAGAACACGTCCTCCTTGGAGAACGTGTCCTCGGAGTAGCTCGGCGTCTCGATGTCGATGTCGGTGATGCGCGAGTGCTCCACGGAATTGTCCTCCGTGTGCGACTCGTCCAGGTCGTCGTTGGAATCCTCGCCGGCGTCATTGCTCATGCGGCAGCCTACGGTGACGCTGGTTATCTGGAAGGAAGACGTCTTCTTCCGGTTGCACTGGCTGCCAGCCGTCACGTTGCTCGGTGATATCAGGCTAACCGGCTGGTGCAGCTTGTCTATCTCCCCCAGACGGATCGTCTCGGTGGTCGTACGGTGCACGGGATTCGAGATCTTTCTACTACCATCCGACAGCTTGTGCGACTTTCTGTGCACATTATCTGCCATTATTATAGGAACTTAACATCTGAGAGACACGATCGTGGCAGCCGTCCTCTTGCATATTAGAACTGACATCGCGGTTGTCGCTGGTGATGCTGTTGCCGCCGCCGCTACTGATGATGCTGTTCCTGAACACGTTGTCGGGCTGCTTTGTCTGTACTCTCTCTCTTCCTCTTTCTCCCTCTCTCTACCCTCTCTCTCTCTCTCTCTCTTCCCGTACTCTTTGTACTCGCTCACGTTCTTCCGTTCGCGCGCGTGCCGATCCCTCTCTCCGCTCTCTCGCTCAACGCTGCCGTCGTCGCTGCTGTTCGAACGAGCGCTCTCTGACTTCTGCCGAGAATACGGTATTAATACGGCTCAAAGGCATATTCCGGAGAGTTCTGTTGGATGTTGACAGTTCACCATTACATTAATTTCACGGGGAAGGAGTGCGTTCGCTCGAGCACCGTCCGTGTCGCGCACGAAAACTAGCCTCGCTCGCTCGACGTTGTCCTACACGCACGATATATCGCGCGGCGTACTTCGCTGCGCCGTTACGTCCAATTCTTCCTTCTTCTCCGGGGATAATCACGCCTCGTTTAATCTCATCCGTTTACATTACTATCTCGAGACGCGAGGCCCATTATCCATATCCCTTTTATACTCTCGTATGGTAAGTGGGCAGTTTAAAAATGGCTGCCGATTCATTCGCGAAATCGCCACGAATTGTTTCTAGAACGGCCGCCGCACCGAAAGGACCCGACGTTGAGGCGACGCGTTGCTTTTATTGGCGCGTGAACTCTCATGGCGCGTCTCCAAATCCGGCAATGCGAGTCGTGTCCGACTGCCATTGGGCGCGCTCTGAACCAGTGCTGCGTCGTCTACGGGCTCTTCTCTAATCCATGGTCGTACCCACGTGCGCGTACAGTCGGACAAAAAAGTCGGATAAAAGTTGTCCTATTCCCTAGATATAGTGATATCAAGACCTTCAAATTTCGAAGCATCGCCTCTGAATATTCATGCATCATGACTGCCGATTATTCCGGCAAGGATGCTCCGAGGCAGCAGTCGCGATGCGCGAATATTCGAAAATGATGCAATGCCTGATTCGCAATTTCCGATATCACTATGCCTAGGGAACGGGACAATTTTTCTGTCCGCGACTGTACGTGCCATGCGGGAATATGGCGATTGTACTTAAATTTGACGTTGCCGGACGAATGTTCGATTCACGGCCGATTTGAAAAAGGACCCGAGTTATCAGGACCGTTTCTTCTGTATCGAATGCGCCGTCGTTGGCTGCTACGCCGAGATAGCGTGTGATTTTCATCGCGAGCAATCGAGACGGAAATGTTCGGCACGGGACGGAATTGCTTCAGACGAATGGCGAGGGGCGTCAAAAGTTTACATTTACAAAAATCCAAGGTTCAGCAGACCAAAACCAAAACTATACCAAGTTAGGAAATATTCATGCAAAATGTTGCGTCAAGGAGCGACTGATGCGTTATTTATATTAAATCCGTGTTGTTTGTAGTCTTTCAATATCCGATTAGCCAAGAGGGTGAATACAGAGTATACGTGTGGGGCCTTGCTCACCATGGCGCTCTCGGGGAGAGTTTGGTGTTAAGCGAGAAGAAAATTTCAGCTACCAAGAGACCAAACAGATTGTCCTTTGCAGAAAAGCATAAAGTGGTAAATATCGCCTGTGGATACGGTTTCACAGCTTATGCTGTACTATCCTCGGACAAAAACATTGTTTATGGCACCGGCGTAAACACAGATTCGCAACTTGGTAAGTATATTTTTTTGCTTCCTTCCTTTATTAAAAACAAGAGGGACACAAGTTTGCTTCTTTCCTATAATAGGTTTCCATAAAATGGATCACAAACAGAAAATTCCTGAAAACATAGTGTTTCTCCCAAGGCCGATAAATTTGCCACTTCAGGACAACAAGACGAAAGTTTTAGACATGGCTGCAGGTAGAGCACATTTGTTGATACTGACTACAGAAGGTTTGTTCACGCTGGGTAATAATGCGTATGGCCAATGTGGTAGACCAATTATAAAGAACGAAAAGTATGAGAAAAGTATGATTGTTCATCATATACCTAACATTAAGGGACACAAGATTACTGCAGTAACGGCTGGTCAAGATCACAGGTATAACAATGTTTCATGTTGTACGCAATGTTAATGAATTTCCTAACATTGGTTTATTAATATTCTTGTTAATACAGCATGCTCTTGACAGAAGCAGGTGAGGTTTATACATTTGGATGGGGTGCCGATGGACAAACAGGCCTGGCACATTATCGAAATGAACATCAACCAAGTTTGGTTAAAGGTGATCTGGCAGGGCAGCGCATAATAAAAGTTGCCTGTGTTGCTGACTGTGTATTAGCTCTTAGTGGTATGTGAAAAATGTTCAATGGATTAGAGAATTTAAAAAACTGTAGTTAGTAAACTAAAATGAAAAATATCACCTGCTTAGACAGAGGAAAAGTTTTCGGCTGGGGTAACTCAGAATATGGACAGTTACCAATTAAAAGCGAGAATTTCCAGATAAATATTGCCACGGAATTAGATGGGTTTCAAGATTTAGGACATATTGTAGATATTGCAGCAGGCGGATGTTTCTGCATGGTCTTAAATGGTAAGAGTTAATGTATAATTTATATTACATTAAATTGAATAATTAATTATTTTAATCATTATTATATCAACACTTTTTGCTTAAAAAGCTAGGCAGCTTGGAATTTTTTGTGTGAAATTCTGTAAAATATTATCTGTTAATCATAATTTATCAAATAAACCTAGAATCTCTCTCCACTGTGTAACTGTATTATAGATGCTGGCAATGTCTATGTATGGGGATATGGTATACTAGGACTTGGACCTGAAGTAGAGAAAAAATCGAAACCAACACAGATCCCATCTACATTGTTTGGCAAAAATATATATAATCGTGATGTCAAGGTAATTAAAATAAATCAGCTTCGATTTAAAAATATTTAGAACTTACTTTTTACACACTTCATCTGAAAATTTATTCTTTATGCGTAGGTGACAAAAATAAATTGTGGGACTAGTCAACTAGCAGCATTGACTAACTCGGGGGACTTATTTATGTGGGGTGTTAATAAATATGGATGTTTGGGATTAGGACACGATAAAGATCAATTTTTTCCTTTAAAGGTAACTCCATTTTATACGTGTATTTTATACGATACAAAAATATAAAGTATAGCAGATACATATTATATAAATGAACACATGATATATAGCAGTTTTATATGCAACAATTTATTGCTTTCTGTTAACAGGTTTCAGTAGGTGCTCAAGTAAAAAAAGTTGCTTGTGGAATAGATCATACAGTGGCTCTGTGTAAACCTTTTATTTAAAGAGACACAATAACCTTATATATATAATATTAATCACTAATATTATATGTATATTAAATGCTGATTTATGTACGATTGCGAGTTTACCTAATACTTCCCTGTTTTAATAGTTTTAACTTTGTATATAAAACTAATGTGTATGACGCTATATTACTTTTTTGTAAAAATGCAATATATGTGTTAAACATACGATATGTACAACTGGTTTGTAATTCTGATTTAACTATGCTAAATGTCGATGATTTTGATTTTACTTGTCAAAATAATTTATTAGCATTCTTGTATTGCACATTATGAAAACACATAAATTATACTTGTGATTAGAATGATGGTGTTCAGCAAATTTATACTTGCGCTACTTGTGCATACCAAATTCTCATAGTTGACGGTGTATTTCATCATGTTTTGGAATTTGCAAAATTGACCTACAGAGAAAATATAAAAGATATATCAGGAAACAAAGAATGTGAAGCATAATCACGCAAAACAAAATCAACCAGCATCATTTAGTATAAAGTTATAAACACATTTAAAGAAATACGTAATGTTAAAAATTATAGTTGCAGATATAATTAGTCACTTAGATTCAAATTAATCACAACTCACCTGTGCACTGATAGGAGGATCCGACTGAAGAATTGGCAAATACTATCATGTAAAACGGTTTGCAAGAGTGTATGTACTCGGCTCCATCACACGAAAATGAAACGGTATATGCATTTTCAGACAGTATCATGCACTCTACATTCTCACCTTTTGAAGAATCAGTATTTATAGGTAGTCGTGATGTGCATACTTTCAGTGCACCCGATGGTGTGCCACTGATAGATTGCTCAATCTGAAATTTATTTAAAGCGTATCCGTAAGGCATTTTCTCAATTACATGACTTATTTTCTCAATTATAAAGACTTACTTTAATTGTCGAACGATGCGACGAATCCCTGGAGAAGAAATAATTGGGATGCATCCTGTAAGAAATAGCCATATTTGGCGCGATATAACCGTCGAATGGATTAGTAGACGCGGCGGGGGTATAATTAGCTCCACATGCCGTATTGATTAGACGTTGAGGGACTGTAATAACATATATATATAGTAAATTATAATATAACATAATAATGCATAGTAAATTATATTAAACATGGTAGAACACAGAGGAAAATAATACGGGCCTCTACACAGTGAGTTATTTCATACCTACCTTTTCTTATTTTTGAAACTAAATCAAGGATTGTTGGCAAAGCTCCGTTCTTTTCGTCTCCGGTGATAGAAAACAAATTTTCTGCGTTTACGTAATCTAACCATCTGTCTTTTGATCTATAAGTCAGTATAAATACTGTGGCATCTGCAACAATGTAATCAGGCTTGATTTTAATACGTTAAATTTGCAATAATTTTGAAGATTACTGCATATGTTTTTAAGATCGATGATAATATATTTGATATACATACATAATCACTTGCATAATAAATAATCCATAATATATAATAAATAATTCAAACATTACCTGGCACTTGTTCCTGCATCCTCTGAAGCTGTTCTTTAAGATACGGCATATCGGGATCAGGAACAGTCGATGTATATGGAATAATTAAAATTATGTCGGATTTTCCATTTCCAAGGGTGCTACGTTCAATATCTAATTTTGTCTTTTGTATAATTTCCAATTTCTCGAGTGTTTTGCTAAGGTCGAAGCCACTGGTAACTGAGAAAATATGAACCCTAATTATGCCGCTGCTGTTGTTCGTTGCAATATTTCTTTTTTGCGTGTTTTTCACGTATTTAAAATATACATACCGTTTTTATAATTCGTTTTATTATAATTAGCAAAATCCAAGATATCGTCGGTGGTGTTCATCATAATACTACCGTCACGAGCGTTGATTATGGTAAACTGACTGTTGTACGGATTTATCTTCATATTTTCTAGCAAATTTCTAATGAGAGGAAAAGACTTTTATACATCTTTCGTATATTGGTGTTACTATTTATTAAGTAAGGTGACTTTCCATATATACATTATACTTACGTAAGGATTGGTCGTATTGTCTCGAAAGGCCATGTTGTATCGAGAATGATTGTCAGGTCGGCCGAAAGTTCAACGGTATCTTTGAAATAACCCGTCGTCGTCTGTTCACATGACAGGTCATCTTTCAAGAAAGATTCTGAAAATTATTAACCGGTTTAAGTATCATCGCGTAAGAATATTTTAATTACGTAGGAAAAATGAATGCCAGTACTCACGGGCATTCACAGATAGCACGTCCGCAGCTTCCTTCGCAAACTCCTCGATTACGTAGTCGTTTAGCGTAGCTATTTGTAAATCTTCTTTCAAGGCCATAGAAGCGCTGTATGTCTGCAAGATAAAATATTGGAACGCAAATCCATTATACCGAGATACAGACTTAAAGCTTTCTAATTTTTCGATACTTCTCTGATGTTATTTTTCCCTTTTTATTATTGTGATCAGCTAGATTTAATTAGTTTCATAGATAATATCGCATCACATCGTACCTGCGCAAACATCGTCTGAGATGCGTTGCTCGTCATTGTTGTAAATAATATCCCTCGGTTGCACGCTCTAATCGAATGGTCAAACAATCCATGAGCACCATAATACATTTCCAAAATCTGCGATAGTTTTAAAGTGGGTACTCTCGAATACAAAGTCTCGATCTCATTGGCTAGTATTAATCCGTCGAAATTTCCTCTAATCTCCGCTGTTGTAAATTCTAATGAATTGTTAGACTTGAGGAAGTACCAATGGGGCTCAGCCGATGAATTCCAATTTCCATTTGAACCTATTGTCAGTTTTTGTCCCACGGGGCCTTGTATCAAGACAACTTCGGCCAAATCTCCTACAAATACATATCACGTAGAGAACTTCTTCGTAAAGCAATCGTATACATTTGACGAGCATTGCGATTCTTACCGGCTATAGTCGCGATCCACTTGTTATTCACCAACAATTGCGACATATTCGGCTTCTTTTGCGCGGCATGTGGAAACACCTCTGATAATTTTACCGTTTCCGGTTGTAATCCAGCGGCTATACCAGCGATTACTGACCCGATAGAGACAGAACCCCAGCTGTAACATACTCGCCGGGATTATTAATCAGTGTTGGGTAATAACTTGTTAATCAGCTGAAAATTAAGTTAAAAGGTCGATAACTTGTAACTTGACTAAATTAATTTTATGGGCCATCAACTTTTAACTTGGTTAAAAATAAAAGTAAACTTACCCAACTTGCTATTAGTTGGTTATAAATTATATAATATAAAGTGAATTCTAGAGAAATAAGCATACGCGTATGTGCCGAAAATACGATAGAAAATCTACATACTTCGTTTTTATAACGCCATTCTCCACAGGACAATCGCTGTACGGCGGTAGGGACAGAATTTGAGCGGCTTTTGGATGGTTCGGCGGTAACGCTGGATATAACGCATTCGGATCTTCTGTGCCAGTTTCCTTGTGGTTTATCATACCATCACTATGCGCGATAAAAAATTTTTTAGATACCGCACATACAGAGTTCTATTCATCATGTTTACACGTGAACTACTATTACTCCATATCTAGTAATGCTATTACGCTTACATCTGCTCGGGTGTTAATGTTTCTACGTCATTGATATTTAAATTCTCTTTAGCGGGACGTTCGCTGATTGCTCTCCTTGTTCTTCTTCTATACGCGTTATTCGTTACTTTACACACCACATTTTCGTCGCCTCTTTCAAAAATTTCGATTGAACCGGACAGCATAAAATGAAGAGAGCACTGTAAGATGATAACACGTATCAGGTAAAATTCCATAAAAATGTGCACGGTGTCTTTGCGAACTAAAGTTGTCACTTATTTTCATAATCTGTGCAGCGAAGAATGAACTTCTATTCAACTCACCCTTTCTATATCGGTAAGTTCGTCATTAAGCTCGGAGTCTCTCTGTGGTATAAAGGTAAGTATTCGTCTAAATTTCGCGTCCTGTTCAAGGAGTGGAGCATAGGGCGACACGCCGGGTTTACTCGGGACGTTTGGATTTCCTACTATACCGTCTAGGCGAAATCTACAATGGTAAAATGCGCCAATACGCTTTATACGTTCGTTTTCGCGTGAAAATGGATCTCTTATCACGCCAGAGAGAGAGAGAGAGAGAGAGAGAAAGACGGTGTAAATTTTTACTTGTGCATAATCCCGATGGTCAATCTTCGTAAATCCATGTCATTGGAATCTTCAATTTTACGGATTAGTGCGATCAACGTGTTCAAGGTATGCGGAAATCTATTGTCCTTCTCCTGAAGGAATTTATCGTCGTAACATTTTTGAAGCTCCGGCGGGACATCCCGGCGTAAGATTTCTTGCGCGGAAACGCCTGGAATATATTTATTTATTAAACTCTATTAAACTCTATAAATCAAATAAAGATACGTACAGCATTATATCAACTATAATATTAAATAGCGATAGAGAGACACATTAATATATCATGAAGATCTTTACAATAACAAGTTATTTACCAAGAGTAACGAAGATAATCCAGGAATACCACTTAATCATCTTGCGACTGCTACTGAAAACGAGAGATTCAGAGTTTTATAAGTACTTTTTTTTAGACGCGCTCTTCCTACTCTCTATTAATACTGAACTCGAGAAATCCTTCGGAGCATATTTAAAAATGTAAAACTCACCCACTACTCAGCGTTTTTGCTTTCTTTATGCCGGGAAGACACAGTATCCATTCAGTTTCACGTAACAAGATAGTACACCACACCTTTTCAGAGACATAGTAACAGTCACCATCATCACTATCAAAAGATAAGATATGATATGTTATGAGTAATGCATCCCCCTCCCCTCTTTGGTATCTAAAGATGACCTATTGCGATTACGATCTGTATTAGAGAATATTACGGCTATATATTTTATAAATATTATAAGGATAATATTAGTAGCTCAATCGTAAAACCACATAGCTGTTTCGTGGTCTTTCGCGTGCGGTCATTCGCGTTGCCTCAAATAATCGTATGTACGAAAATTTTGCAATTGAACTCTAAAATTGCAATGCGACGTGGTATCGATAAATATAATTGTGTACGCACGGATGTTTTAATTCGGTCGAAAATCTAACGCGACGACAAGGCCATAATTTAACTTCTGAGACATAAAACCACCTATGAGCGTAGAGCTACGCAGTCCAAGTTATCTTATCAGTGTTAAAGTAGAACATGATCTTACTATATCTTCTCAAATGTGAATCATTGTGCATTGTACGCTGCATCAGGTGTAACATGAGCGTTATAGAGTGAGATGCTGTAAAAACTCTGGTCAGTGGTGAAGATGCGTTTTTTCATAGTTTTGCTAGTATGTTACGGTACGTTGACAACGAACGCACTCGGATACGTGCAAGATAGTGAAAATATTTGAGAGTATATAAAAATACCCTCTTCCTTTCCTTCCCAGGAGTACGTTCGATAGAATCTCATCTCAGTATACCGGATGATCTCAAAGAATGTTACGTGAACGGCAACATGCAGAATTTCCACCTTCCCATGAATATGCGCGTGTTACTAGACATCATCCGCAAAGCGGAAAAAGATTCTTACAGCACGATGGATATAAGAGCGATGTCGTCGTCCTTGCTGCATAGGTACAACCTTCTAATGCGTGTTGCTGTCAGTTACGAATGTGATATGAATTTTATACTTCGTATGTGTACCACACATCATCATGTATCGCTTCTCTTCGCGTAAAACAGATTTAAATTCGACGGCGTCGAACACTATGAGAACATACCGCCGCGCGACGGGGTACTTCCCTTTGGGCAATCTGGAAAGCAAAGCATGAGGAACAGATTAGTGAAAGCATTGGACCCGGGGAAAGCTGAAATTTTCCCGTTTGACGCGCTCACAGCGATAGAACGATGCACTTTGCACCATGCGGTCTCGAATACGATTATGAAGGAAAATTCACGTAACACGGATCTATCGTGCGAAGAAATAGGGCAGAAACTAACGAGTAAAAAAGATTCATACATATATATATATATATATATATATATATATATATATATCTGTGCACCTGTTGCATGCGCATCATTCATAAAGATAGTATTTCAAAGCCGATTAAATTAATGTGCACAGCCAAATCCCTATTCCTTGATCTGTGGAACTGTCCGAAAGAATACGGAGTAATTCTCACTCCATACGGAACTATCGCCCCAGGTGTTATCATAGCAGCTATCGCTGCTTCGCTTCAGCATCAGAGTATCGCCTTAACTGACATATACAACATCACCGGTAATGTACACACACACACACACACAAGCTGTTCCTGCGACAGAATATTTCCGGATTTGAATCCGTCTCGCACGAATCAAGAGCGAAATTGAAACATTAACGCATATAGTAAATAAGCATTTGCAAGACGATTTATATTATAAAAATGCATTCTGTTTCAGAAAGACCCGGTATCACGGATAGCATGGATTATAACGAACTGGTTGATTTCGTCTTACCGAGAAGCGAAATGATACATGACAAATCGATGTCGTACCTTCCTCTGCTCGGGTTAAACGTCAATTTGGATAATATATGGCTGACCACGATCGCGGGTGAATTATTTTAGACGACGAGCTCTTTACGTATATTCCACTTGCGTTCAATGTTACAGCGTGAAGCTGAAGATAACGAGCTAGAATTTGATGAAGTACAGATCATCAAGCGGAATATTACGTGTTTCCAGGTGATCTGGCGGAAATGGTGGTGTATCAAGGACCCGTGTTAGGCGCTGATATGGAACTTGGAGCTGCTGGGTTTTGGAACAATACCATGCGGCCCCAGGTTTATTACCTAAAAAGTAACAGAGACAACTATCTTGATGCCACTCGTGCTGACATAGTTAGCGACATCGACGGTATACCGATACGTTTGCAATGCTCCGTTACGATCGAAAGATTCGTTTGCAAATTATATACATCTTTTCCAACTTCTGATTCACAGGTCTGATTGTAGCGAGTCACGTGGAAACCTTGGTAAATGACTTCAACAGTCTTCGTTTGAGTCAGATCCTTGATATGTATTATTCGGGCGAGGGAATAACTGTGCGTGAGGAGAACATTCGAGTTTGCGACAGGAAAAACGCTTTCCCAGACGCTGTGCCGAAGACAGTTTTGTACGAACAGGTGTTTACGTTCGCTTTTTACGAATTTGTTTGTACTTCCAAGGTCAAGCGACGTGAGTTTCATTAACGTGAATATTATATGTATACAGACGTACGCCGCATCCGACATCCTGGCCTATTACAGCAGCATCAGATTCACATCTCCGGAATTTTTCAAGCGAATGGTTGACCATGCAATCGACAGATTTTCCGTTTACGCCAACAGTCATCTATTGACGGAAGTTCTCTGCAGGGACAGAAAACAGTATCCACGAGTGGAGGCATTAATCGCATTTGACGGTGCTTGGGCGAAAGAACAAACGATGGATTTCTTCGCGTAAGTCGAATGCTTCAAATGTTTTGACGTTTAATCATCTGAGAAATTTACTTTAACTTCTACTCTTCTCTTATCAGAACATTGATAGAGGATTTGGATATATCGATGTACGGCTCGAAAATGGGTATCTTACACGGCACATCTGGGGAATGGTTGCTTAACGTAACGGAGAGTCCTAGTCTTGCCTACCATGCTGTGTCTAATTTCTCAAAAATTTCGTGTGAGTTTCCTCACCTGTCAAATAAATGTTATTATTACATCATTACGGTTTATGTCACGCACAGTTTAAACAGGGCCTACGCATTTAAATCTTCTGGTGACCATGAATGCGGTGTATAATTACTTGAATGAAACATGGGAAACGAAAGGACAGCAACATACGATAGGAAGCTTGGGGCAAGTGGTGATAATATTGGCTCCGATAACTCAGATATCTGAAATAGAACAAGAGACGATTTTGAAATTATTGCGAGAAATAAGACATCATCATCCTGGTGAGAGAACAAACAATGCATACTTGTTTTTTTTTTCAATATTAATATTTTCCCACACGTTTTCTGTACTGACAAAATTTATGTGTTTAAAATAATTTGATAACGCATAGTCTAGATTTTTGTACCGTTGCAGACGTAAGCATTTTATATTACGTGTCGGAAGGCCATTCTGAGACTTTCCAACTTTTTATATTATCGGAACATGATCGTTTAATAGTCAGTCCTTATATCAATACCATTGGTGAATTTTTATTGACAAGTAAGTATCACGAACACAAATTTTCAAACAAGCGCTGATCGTGTGTTTGCACGTACGATATATAGCACACTTATATGCGCAATACATTATTTACTCACCGTATTTTAGTGCCACGGACTCTAAGACCAATAACAAAAGTTGCAACCAACTCTTCAGTGTTCCAAGATGAAACGGAGGACTACATAAGTCCTTCCGAATCAATTACGTACATGTTGCATCCACAGCATATTGACGCAAAGAAAACAACAATCGCAGTTAGTATTTCCAAGGAATCACATCAGTTTTTATCCCCTGTCGTAAAATCCGTGAACGATGAATGTGAATTTAAAGCTTTCTTCTGATTCTGTGAAATTTGGCTGTCGGTGATACAACATATTATTTGTCAAACATCTTGATATCACGTACATAATTCATTAATATTTCTACCAGGTTCATAACTTCGGTTATGGAACGATAGAAGTTTGTTTGTGGAACCGATTTAAAACAGGCAACAATCAGGAACATATGACATGTCGATATCTTGATACACATCAAGCTATTGATATAGTTGACAACTTTGTATGCACGGATGCAGGTTGTCCTTATATATATCTTCGTGTACAAAATATTACTTCCTACAAAAAATGTGCAGGTAAGATTCACACGCACAATAATTGTATCGATAATAATAAAGATTCTTCTAGTTTCTCTATATTACATAAGTTGCTATTCCTTTACTTACATTTTACTTATTTCCTACTCCAGAGATAGAATGCAAGTTACCAAATCAAGTGAGGTACATTGTAAGGATGCAAAATTATGAAAACTCAGCAAGCAAAATGTTTATAAATATTTTCATACTTTTTGTACAATTAATTGTATTTCATATATAATACTTATATAAATACTTATATAAATGTAACTAAGGGTTTTGTTAATAAAAAAATTTAAAACTTGTAGGAAAACCTAAATATCTTAAATATTATCATATTTCTAGTACTTTATTACAAATAAAAATATATATTACAAAAAAGAATAAACCGTCACGTAAAACGTTGCAGATGATTTCGAAGTAAAATTCGATGTAATCCTGACGTCATATTCGTAACGACATATTTTATTGTGTATAAAAATACAAACTGTAGCTGTACTTACAAGTATCTTCCGCGTTAATAATTTCGATAAGCGTATTCATAAATTAACTTAATAAGAAATTGGAAGTTACTCGATGCAGCAAGTTCCTCAAGTTCTGATTCTTTGAGAAGAACATCGACTGATGGCAAGAATTCTTCCACTTTGCCGCCTGCACAGCGAATATGCAAATTAGTATTATATCAGTATCATCGGTATCTCATTAAATATAGCTTACCCATGAAGTATACAAGATCCATTAATTTGAAAAACAGTGTCTCCTGAACTTGTTGCTCAGGATTCTTTTCTACGGTGTTCCATTGATTCCGCCGAGCCGCACGCGCCCAAATTTGCAATCTCAAAGACAATTTATCCTCCTCTTGTTCCACGTAATCGAGCAAATCGAGAGCTTTTTTGAAATCATATTCGTTGGCTATGACGTTTTCATTCGAGGTATACAACTGTTTAAATTAAACATTACAAAAATCCAATCTTTTGTCTCGCTAGATAAAAATTATATAATAATTGAATTACTATTAAGAGAGCATCTGTACCATGATTAATTCTCTTGGTGTGAGTACTCGTAACTTCTCAATGTCGTAGCCATATGTTGTGAGCACTTGAGCTGGTAAATCTTCCTGATAAGCTATGAGCGCCAATTCATTGTCGATCATCTTCGCACTGTCCACGACTTTATTGTCCGGCTCGTCCGAGGCAAGTAAAGCCAACTTGGCTAACGAGAGTATCGACTGTAATTAAAAATCAATTAAATATACAAATTACACAATGTCCGCATATCGTTTATTTGCATCATTGACGTGTTTAATACTATCCACCTTTTTACGAGTAACCAGCTCAGCTTCTTGAACAGCCAAGGTATGAAGTGTATTGGCAGCGAGTCGTAATTCATCGGTTAGAGCCGCTTGTACCCAGGACAAAGTGGGATGTTCCGACAACTTCTCCGTTAATTCTGCAGTGCCAGCACGTCTGCATCTTTCCACTAACTGTCCTTGACGTCCGTCTTTTACATACCTATTAGGAGAATAATACATGATACACGCAAGAACACACGTATAAAGTTTTCACGATGCAACAATATTACGGATGTTCTCACCAGGAAAACAAAAAGCCAACGAAATCTTGCGCTGAAAACTTTTCTATGTATCCGTCAAGCCGATTTTTATTGTTAGTTAACTCGCAAATTTGTACAAGCGATGGGAAGTCACAATATTTTTCGGCAAGCATAGCAGCGTTGTCGTACTGTTCTTCCTTTACTGTAAAACACGTTTGTACGTTAGCAACGAGAGAGAAAACTGTGAAAAGTACGTGAATAATCAAGATAATATTAAATGTGTCTTACTCAGTGGCTGAATTAAATTAGTGCGATCTGTCTCGTATTGCTTTAAAAGAATTTCGAATTTCTCAGTGCCACGAATGCTCTCCAAGTGGCATTTCCTTCCATCCAGTATCAAGTCGATAAGACTGACTAACTGTTCGTATAGTTCGTTTCTAACGGCGGAATCACTGGTCCCTGTTACACCGTGTTTGGTAGTGATGCTTTGCTGTAAAAAATTACGTTAAGATAAATTAGAACTCTCCAACCATTAGGACATTCGAACTCGTAGATTAAAAACATGAAGACGACACATACCATTGTGTTGAGACAATTCCTCAAGCCGTGTTTACCCGGGGACGCTGTCCAAGGAAGGTACTCCGTTATTACATTTGAACATTTTGCAGGAACAAAGCGTTCAGCGTTATATTGGCGGTATTTCACTACTTCATGTAATACGGCCTATTTTAGTGGAAAGTAAACGAAGAGATCAAAGTAAATGTTTGTAAATGTGAATTTTTTTACCACTGTCTTATTGACTCACCAATAAAATAGAATTAACTTGCATAATGTACTGTCCGACTTGTTGCAACGGCCTTTCAGATTGTGTGACTTCATTCGCTTTATTTATCAAAGTTGGCAGGAATAAATGTACCGTGCTCACTTCGCGGAAAAATATATCGCGCGCTGTAAGTTCATCGGATACGTAGGCTTCTGGCCGCAATGTTTCATCTATCACTGCATCTATAACCTCTGAATATCTAAAACAACGTATACAGTAGAAATAAAATATTAAAAAGTGTCATACATTAATTATATGATATATATATCAGAATCTCGAACCTATTTTGAAGGTTGTATATAGTCGTTGCTGCAATTATTTTCTCTGCATATTCACCGAGCACATGCGACGTAGACATGATGGTCCCTCTGTACGTAACTGCGCAGAACTTGAATAAAAACAGATTAATAATAAAAACAGATTAATGTAATTAAATTACTTAAATTATGTGATACAAGAAAAAAATATTATATTCACGTACTCTACTCCATAAATTATATTCCTTCAAGAACTGCACGAAGAGGTCTAACGCTTTTTGTTTTCCTTCCAGTTGATGAGGTATTTGCATAGAGGTGACCGCATTTACCGTTATTGCTATACAAAAATTTAATTTGCAAACGTTACATATTTCTCAGTGGACGTATTGTATAAAATACAGTAGTTTGGCCGATATATACATTTGAGAGATTTATGTGAAACGTAATAAAATTTCAACAAGTACAAGTTACTCACACAGATCCCTGTGGTTCGCCCATCTTGGATCATTTGCTGGATAATCGTCGATCAAGTCTTTCGCAACTTTCAGAATGAGTGTGTCGAGAGTAGCGTCGATATCCATTACTGGGTCCTCTTGCAGAGGGAAAAGTTGAGAGAGAATCTCGTCGCATTGTGCCTGTAAACATTGTGAGAAACGTACATTAGCTTGTAACAAGCATTACGGAATATCCATTTCCTCTCATCTGCAACGCGCCTTATTTTGCCGCAGACTCAGGAGAAACGCGGTGCGTAATTGCGTCGCTCCGTCGGAACTGTAATACATGTCCTGAAGTTCCTCATTGCTTATCAGAGGGGAAAAATTCTGTGCCGCTTGATTCGTTTTATAGTTAAAGTCCACGCTAATATTGGCGTCCGTGTATCCTCTGCAATTTAATCACATGTACAGAAGGAATAATATGTATGTTTAATGTTTACGATTGTGCAATTGTAAAAGCAAAGCTACAAACGTATTGAAATCTTGGGTCGCAAAGTCCACTGGTGTAATGGACACTAAGCCAACGCTTTTTGTGAATAACACAGGAGTTCCTGAACATAAAGCACCGCCTAATATGCTGTCTTCACCGCCTCTCACCAGATCGATTTTATCTTGGTCGATTTCAGACGCGGCTGTAAAGATTTTTTCATATTTGACGATACAGAATATTTCTTTTTTTTTTTTCATCAAGAATATCGTACTGAGCTTAGAAACTCTCATAAATATACTTACTGTTAACTACAAGCACGTTATACTGATTATATATAATCGCCTCCCAGCCAGATAATATGAAACGATAAGAACTCAAGGTTGACTCTATCATCTCCATGTCGTCGTCATAGAACAGCGGGTCAACTTGGACTTTTATAAACCATTTAAACGTATTTGACAAAACTGTGCCGGCTAAAGGTATTAATCCTGTAAAATAACATGACAAGTGGATAACAACGTATCGTATATCTTGTACCTTGCGCGAGCAAATTGACTTGTAACTGTACCAAGTGCAAAATGTATTTGAAGAGATATATCGGCGTAATAAGCTGCCATTAAAAGGACTATCCCTTCATCGCATGTCTGCATATCGATGAACCACGTATTCATCCTTTGAGGATTACACGGGCTTGATTCCTGAAATATAGTGCACATCAGTAACACTTTCTGCGTTTTGTATTTGATGCTTCATAAGCATCTGGATATGCACATACCCAAAGTTTCCTCTGAAACGTTTGCGAAACGATGTGAGTAATATCTTCATCGAATTCCATCTTTTCTTGTTCGTTGTGAGAAAAAAGCCAATATTGTAAGGAGGACCCAGCAAGAATAAGCACTCTTGAGCCTCTTTCAGTTAAAGGTGTACATGTAACTTTTACTAATTTCTGTGAAATATGTATGTGTAAATATTACAATAAAATATAGAAAATGGATTGTGCACAATATCCATTTTTAATAAAAAGAAACAAGGCCAGATACATATTTTTTAAAGTATCTCTACAATTCTGTATAGAATATATATGGTTATATAATATATACAAGAAAAATACCGTTTCTGCAACAGGTGATTGCGGTATTGCCCCAAAAATCAAGGAGGTCATTCTACGACCTATGCCACCAAGCCATCCTTGACTTGTTCGAAGTACTTGGCAAGTGATAGTGTTTTTCCCATTGTTGAATTGTGGCTGTAAAAGCGCTACCGTACACGTAGTTGTAGCTAGAATACACCCATGGCTTGGCACGTACATAAGACAGTCGACTTCCTGTCCCGCAAGTTCCGCGCTAGTTTCTACAGAAGATCCCTCATGTGCCACACTTGCCCAGAAACGTACTACGCCTTCTGGTGACACCGCCATGCAACTAGGAACCTATTAAATAAAGATACAAATAAACCATTGATTGTTTCTATGAAACATTTGAAAATACAAGTGCTGTTACAAGCAAATAATTAATTTTGATTTCAATACCTGATGACCAGGAAGTAGCCAGACTGCTATACAATCCGCCTTGTGAGCCAAGTCACTCTGAGGTAGCAATAACTCACGACACTGAGTTTTAAAGGTTCTTCTTTGCTTAGGATCATGAATGGTAGTTTTGCATTGCCACACGAGTAGCTTGCGACCATAAACAAGCCAAGCCCAGCCATCAGTGGATACATTAACACTGACAGCTGTATTCCGATCCACGAATGTTAACGCTTCAGTGACTAGTACTGGCAGTGAAGAACCAAAGCTTTCAACCGTGTGACTCGGTGTTCTGCATATTGTCTGTACAGATTGATTGGTGCGTCCGGAAGCACTTGCTGCACTGAAATCAAAATGCAACATAACCACATGAACAATTGTATTTTTATATTGAGTTATATACTAGTCGATTATGTAATATACACAACAGGATCATGAAAGGATCATACATGCCAGGAAACTTACGAACTATTCTTCTTCAACGATTGAACTATCGACATTCGTTTTCTAGGAGAGGCTATCGAACGCCCTAACGAACCACCCAAGCTTGTGCGATCCATTCTTCTGCGTTTGGGTTATTTCAATAATTTTTATATAAATATAAAATTATAATATATAATTAATATAATATATAATTAAATTTCAATAATTTATATATTTCAGCCTCTTTTTACCTCCTAACTTGAGTTACACCTATTGGCTCGATTTGAACTGTCTGATATTTTTAAAGTTAGGTTAGTCGAGTGAAACACCGGCCGCCTTACTTTTATCGGTTTCAGAGTCTCCGCTACGGGTCGCCACTTCCAAAAAATCATCGTAGTACGACTTCACGACAAGTCAGGCACCTTTTTTTATTTTCAAGTAGTACGACTTTACGGTTTTGAAGAAACGTTTTGTTCTGACGCTTTTGTAGTGCGCATATCGCACGTAAAGGATATAACTGTTCAAAGATATGTGATATATGAACACACTTGAAATCTGAGGGTGAATTCATTTCTCTTACCTTGTAGTATATGCTGCAATCGTGAGGAACGTTTGTCGGTAGAGCATGTGGAGTAGCTTAGCAACTTTGAAATCGTTTTCGTAAGCCGATTTGCTATCTGAACATAAAACAAGACGAACAAATCTTTCGACGCAGAAAAATGGTCAATGTGAAAAACGATGAAGTTGTCGCGGAAGACGGCCCTCAAAAAACCGCGAAGCAACTGCAGAAGGAGGCTAAGAAATTGGCCAAGTTGGAGAAATTTAAGCAGAAACAGGAAAAAAAGGCAACTGAGAAGTCGGTGAATGCGAAGGAAAAACCGGAGGTAAGAGATGCACGTAAAATTAATATCTAAGTGTCTTTGATTTATCAATATCAAGTTTAATGGTTCTACACTAGTGTAAAATTGACTGATAATTATGTGATCCATATGGAGCCTCTAACACTTGTGCTTATTGAAGAGAATTTCCACTGATCTGTAGTTGGTTTAACTTTTTGTCTTATTCTGAATTGAGTACAAACAGCAATAATCAATGGAAAATTCATATATAATAATAGATATTTGTACATATTTTTAGCAACTGTATAAAGATTATTAGAATGAGATCCCCAGGACTCAATTAGAGTCTATAAATAATTGGTTATTTATAGGCTTTGTATAATTAAACTCCGTTTATTTGAGATCTTATATGTTTTATGTGTCTTAGAAAAATGATAAGAAAAAGGAGGTTACATCAATCCTTTACACTATGGATACATTACCTGGTGAAAAGAAAGATATTGCATGTTCCTTGCCGGATACGTATAGTCCTCAATATGTAGAAGCTGCATGGTATGCTTGGTGGGAAAAGGAAGGTTTCTTTAAGCCGGAATATGGAGTAAGTAAACATGACAGATATGTAGCCATTGTAATATTTAGGAAACATTTGAAAATTTACACAGGTACAATTATAAGATTAAAATTTATTTAGCTGTGTATTAAAATCTTATAGGGAAAAGATATATTGAAGGAGAATCCTAAAGGAAAATTGGTAATAATAATGCCACCTCCTAATGTGACTGGTTTCTTGCATCTTGGACATGCTCTGACTAATGCTGTAGAGGACACTATTGTCAGATGGTAAATTATATAATTTTTAAATGATAATTGTTCTAAATATACAACTCAAATGACTCGATTGTTTCATTATCATTTAATTCACTTAGGAACCGTATGAAAGGTCTTACAACACTTTGGATACCGGGTTGTGATCATGCTGGTATCGCCACACAAGTGGTTGTGGAGAAGAAACTTTGGAAGGAGGAGAAGAAATCTCGTCATGACATTGGAAGGGAAGAATTTATTAAGAAAATATGGCAGTGGAAGTTTGAGTAAGCATGAAGTCATAAATGAGATATCGTGCGATTTATTCAATTTATAAAATATATGTCTCTGACGTAATAGTATTCGATAAGAAAATTTATTAGGTTTATTTTTCAGAAAGGGCAACAGAATTTATTCACAGTTGAGGAAGATAGGCAGTTCCTGTGATTGGAGTCGTGTTTTTTTTACGATGGACCCTATGTTATATAGAGCTGTAATGGAAGCATTCGTGCGTCTGCACGACGAGGGTATCATTTACCGCAGCAATCGTTTGGTCAACTGGTCGTGTGCTTTAAAAAGTGCTATATCAGATATTGAAGTGAATATTACATAGATTTAACTAAAGTTTCTTTACCTTTATCGCTTAATATGTTACATTCAAACACATTAATATTTAGAGAGACCAGTGGGAGGAGTTATGCTGAAAAGTGTGCATTTTTCAGGTTGACAAGGTGGAGTTAAGCGGTCGGACTCTACTTTCGATACCCGGCTATGAGAAGAAAGTGGAATTCGGTGTTTTGGTATCATTTGCTTATCAGCTCATCGATTCCGACGATAAGATAATAGTAGCAACCACCCGTATTGAAACGATGTTAGGAGACACCGCTGTCGCAGTGCATCCGAAGGATAGCAGATATGCGCATTATATCGGAAAATATGTTCGACATCCATTTTGTGACAGACGTATACCAATTTTAGCGGACGAATTCGTTGACATGGAATTTGGCACTGGTACATACATGATGATCTTATAGATCGGTGAAAGGATTGAAAGTAGGGCGATTGCGAAATTAGATTGTAACGTGACCGTTCGTAGGTGCTGTAAAGATTACGCCGGCTCATGATCCCAATGATTATGAAGTAGGGAAAAGGCACGATTTACCGTTCATAAATATCCTTAATGACGATGGATGTATCGTTGGAGATTACGGGAAGTTTACGGTATTATATTTCACATGTAACTTTTTACAAGCATATGCGAATATCATTGAAATATAAATTGAATGCATTCTCCGTGTCGCAGGGAATGAAACGATTTGAAGCTAGAGCGGTTATCCTTGAAGAATTGACCAAGAGAAACTTGTTGATCGACGTGAAAGACAATTCAATGGTAATACCTATGTGCAGCCGATCCAAAGATGTCGTTGAACCTCTCATGAAACCGCAATGGTGAGTAAAGTACGCGTATATTCTCTCTCGTTTTTGTTGGTTTCTTTTTTTTATGTATAATTTTGGTTAATCTTGATTTAATCTTATTTCCATATATGTTTTAGGTACGTCAAATGCGATGAAATGGCTGCTCAAGCTAAGGAGGCAGTAGCGACGGGTGAGTTGAAAATTATCCCGCAACAATATGAGAAAACTTGGTATCTTTGGATGGATGGCATCAGGGATTGGTGCATTTCGCGTCAGCTCTGGTGGGGTCACCGCATCCCCGCATATGCAATCGAGCTTGTTAATTCTTGCACGAGCATGAACCAGGTGATTTTCAAGAAATAAGAAATATTCCAAGACTTGTATTATATTTTTTCGATTAAGTGTACTCATTCGTAATTACCGAAACGCGATTGTATGTAGACAGGTGAAACGTACTGGGTGAGTGCACATTCCGAGACCGAAGCCAAAGAGAAAGCGGCTAAGAGATTAGGCGTTGATGCAAGCGAGATCATAGCGAATCAGGATCCCGATGTGTTGGACACCTGGTTCTCTTCCGCTCTCCTCCCGTTCTCTAGTTGTGGTTGGCCGGATCAAGTACGTACTATATATGTATATATATCTTTTGACAATTTCTCTGAGAAAAAGAAATTGTTTCATGAACTCGAAGTAAAATGAAAGCGTAGCCTTAATGCCGGAATATATTGTTCAGATTCCAGATCTGAAGGCGTTCTATCCAGGTACGCTGCTGGAAACTGGCCATGATATACTTTTCTTCTGGGTTGCCAGGATGGTTTTCATGGGACAGAAATTACTGGGACAATTGCCTTTCAGGTATATGTCGTGTATTTCACGTATTACATTTATACATATAATCATCACGAAGGAGTAAAATGAACGATCCGTTGAGCGAAATTCAATCCATAAATCTTACAGGGAAGTGTATCTGCATGCTATGGTGAGAGATGCACACGGAAGGAAAATGAGTAAATCCTTGGGAAATGTAATAGATCCTATGGACGTGATTAAAGGAATATCACTGGAAGTAAGTAATAATCTTTAACACTTTGATATTATATTTTAATATTCATGATATTTTTAACATTGTGTTAAATCGTTTCTTTCCCTTCAGGATCTTCACAAACAACTGCTAGATTCGAATTTAGATCCGAAGGAATTGAACCGAGCACGAGAGGGTCAGAAACGTGATTATCCACAAGGCATACCGGAGTGCGGTACGGACGCTTTGCGATTCACTCTCTGCGCTTACACTACTCAAGGACGTGATATAAATCTTGACGTGCTCCGTATACAAGGATACAGGTTCTTCTGCAACAAAATTTGGAATGCTACCAAATTCGCACTTACTTATTTCGGGCCTCAGTTCAAGTACGACGCGAATCATACGTCTCGTGAACGTAACACGAATGATGATGTAAGTTGCAATCGAAATATTTTTCGCGAGAATACTTCGTTTTCCATGATAGAAGGAATCGGACATTTGACGTTTTTTTTAATGCCAGAAACGACATAATAATTCAATCGATATTGACACGGAGGGGACATGGTACAGCAAGTGCCATAACTGGGATTTGCATCAACCATCTATTCAAGGAGCGATAAATAATTATTTAGCGGACCACCCGTACCTCGATGGTTACACACCGACGCAACTTGATCCTGCGGTTCATCAGTTGTTAAAGGATTCAAATATTAGTTCTGTGAATTATCCGCATCTTAAGCGTTGGTACGATCATATTGAAACGTTCACGGACGCAGAAAGAGCCAGATTTGCGAAGGTGGAAATGTTGAAGAATATTCAAAGGAGAGTTGAAGATACGTTTGAGGTAAATACTCCGTTTGTGCGAGGTGTATCGTACAGCAAGCATTTATTAAAAAATACTTATCAGGGAGGAGGAGAAGTTTTTCTTTTACACACATCTGCTGTTACAGTTGACTGACTTGAGTGAGAAAGATGTACACTTATGGATGTTATCGAGAATCAGTTACGCTGCCAAGGCATGTAACGAGGCACTGACGCAATATGACTTCGCGTTAGCCACTTCTATCTGCCATAATTTGTGGTTGTATGAAGTGTGCGATATTTATCTGGTTAGTATCACAAACTTGATAACATGTAGCGTGTTATAAAAGTAGAAAGAGTATACACCGTATACGTGCTTGCATGAAACGATTAATGTTCCTAGGAATATCTTAAACCAATATTTCAAAGCGAAGATAACGCGGCCAAGTTAGCAGCGCAGAAGGTATTGTTCAAGACAATAGACGTAGCGTTACGTTTACTCCATCCGTTTATGCCGTTCATAACGGAAGAGCTCTATCAACGTTTGCCTCGCAAAAAGCAGATGTATCCGAGTATATGTGTCAGTCCGTATCCAAACGTCGCCGAGGTAATTTATTACGATTCTGATGTTCTGTTCTTGAAATATCGACTGCACGTTCGTAAATACACGGATTATATTTTCAGTGCCCTTGGCGAAACTACGAGATCGAGGAGGACGTGGAATTCGCGCAGAAGATAATCAGGAATATCAGATCGACTCGTGCGACTTACTATTTACCTAATAAGACGAAGACCGACGCATTTGTCGCGTGTCGCGATCCAATTTTGAAGAAAAAGATCGATCGATACAAATCACTCATAGACATCCTTGCGTATTCCACCCTCAAGATGGAGGAGCCGCCGGCAGGGTGTGAGATCATCACCGTGACCGATAAGATTCAAGTGCACCTTTTACTCGAGGTAATTATAATACATTGTATTATCATACATTACGTATGTTCATCACATTAATCCTTATTGTAACCATACGTGTTTATTATACTCTTGTATTTCACAGGGCTTAAAGCTCCTGGATAGTCGCCGCGGATTCGTGACGTCAGAAGCGTGAAAAGTCACATTAAAAAATCTTACGTACCACTATTAAATTAAATAGAAATCTCAATAAAAGACACGTGAAATTACTTCAGTATATTGGTAAAATGTTCCGGCTTCTTTCCTTTTCCCTCGACAATACAAGTATTCGTCTTTGTCTAATTCAGCACGGAAGAGAACCTAATTGCATTTACCATGCGGTAAGTAAACTGAACTAAGTTCTCATACCTTCCACCACATTATGGCTGCGCTACTGTCAACGCGGACTTCTCGGCTGCGGGACCAAGAGAGCCTTAATTGACACGAAGAAAGAATTGGAGAAGTTGTACAAGAAAAAGGAGCAGCTGGATGAAACCATACAGAAATTGAAACACGAATCAAGCATGCCCGATTACAACGTAAAAGTGCGTCTGCCTGTTCGAGAAAGCAACAAGGAAAAATGGTCGAGAAGCGAAGGCGAATTAATAGGAGTATTCGATGCAACGGCGATTCTACAGGCTAGGTCTTGTTCCAAATAATATTTCTAGGAAAAATGTCCTCTAAATCCGTTTTAGACCGTAATTATTACAATTTATTCAACATCCGATGAAAAACGAAATTTAGTTAGAAACGTTCCAATTGTCACTGTGTTGTATGTTTCCCTTGTTCAAGATTTCGCAACAGCGTAAGATGCGTCGCAAGACGAGGTATATAATTAGCGGGATCAAATAAATGATTATGATAGATATGTTGTAAATGAAGGGGGTTATCTTTTCGCATTAATTTATTATAAAGCATTGCCGATAAATGTGCAACAGTTATTAAAATTGATATAATCAATATCTAACAATAATCTTCCTCCATTGGCGTTACAGCCCCTTCTTGTAGGGGCCTGAGCCTACCTGGGCCTCTCTCTCACGTATGCATGTGGTGCGCACGCAGATTATACACACGCATACGGGACCTATACAGTTTAAAAACGCCGGTTCCAAACGGCAAATTTTTGGAGAGAGGTTTCCCATGGCGTGAATACTCTTCTTAGTGGTTTGCCAGACTACCGAAGAGGAGTCACGAGTGCATGAAAATCGAACCCGGGACCTCTAAGCATAGCAGACCGGTGCGCTGTCTACCACGCCACGCTCATCTAACAATAATCTAAACTATAAAATTGTACGGTATATTCGTTTCACTTAATTTACTTTCCTTCACTATCAGCAGTCGCTTTCATAATAGTTTGATAACTACACGTTTCTAAATGGGATATTTGGTATCTACAAATGTTTTATGAAGTAGTACTCGATTGATCATTTCGATGAGGATTCAGACAAGGCTAAAGTAAAGATCATAGTGTGAAATTATATAAATGACATCTTAGAGATTGTAAGAGAGTGCGACAATATTACGCGATTACATTACTGTTATTTCTATAATTACAGTATGTCTTCCGTGAGCTGGATTTTAATCGTATGCCAGCAGCATTAAAATATTTCACTACATCCGGATCTCCTGTTATTTTAAATTTGTCTCCTCGAATCCCCTCTCCCATTAAACTGCTGTTGCCAAATGAAAGTTATGCAATAACCCATGATGGTTTCACACTACACAAGTCCTCAGTAAAACGTATACTGACGTTATGTAGCGATCAACAAAAATACAAACATTGCAATCTGTGTCCACGAAGAAAAACGTACATAACAAATATTATTATCTTTAATATAAAAAATGTACAGGGGGAGTAGAAAAGTTACTCTGTTTACAGTGCGAAACAGCATTCCTTTCTTCTTCTTTTTTTTTTTTTGGCAAATGACTGTGCGCGTGGTAAGACCATTATCGGCTGATTTCTAAAATGATCTCACAAGGAAGCGTTAATGCGGACATTCGAATGTATAACAAAACAATACTAATGATGTATTTACAAACCATGATATGTATAATTCGTACTAAAATTTATTCGAATTTAGTCCAATTATTTTGCGATTTAATGGCAGGTGCATTCAGCGTTAAACTGAATGTATCTAGCGTATCGATATTATTAATACTGTTATCTGGTACACTTCGATTACAAGCTGTAGCGGTACTCTTTGTAGACGAGTCACCATTAGCTAAACTGAATTTATTAAAATCTATGCCGTATGCTTGTAATAAATCCATATCGCCCGCGTTATCGGAGGTCTTCGGTTTATCATTGCTTTTGTGCAACGGTTGAAAGTAAGGGTATAACGGATTACTGAGGCCTTCACCCATCTCGGGTAAATGTAACGACTGCGTCATTTGTCTTGTGCTTGTGAATTCGGAGGATTTAGACAGCAGTGGATCGAAATCGTCACTGCTATTTGTCGAATCTAATCGTATTAAATCTGGCACATCGGGAGAATCCTGTAAAAAAAGACACGAATGCTGATAACTTTCAGTGTTAGTCGGTTAATTTGAAGCAGTATGAGGAAGAAGGTGCACAGTTTTATTCACAGCATCAAAATGTTAATGTCCTGCGGATTGCGATGATCGATTTCTCGTATGTGATGAACGCATGCCTCCGTACATTGTTACGTACATACGCAGTCTTGTCGCGCATGATTACATTTAACAGTTTGATACTGCGTAACACAAGTTACACGAGATCTTTTTACCATAGCCAAAAGTTGAGGACAACATGAGAGAGTGAGAGTAATAATAAATTGATTAAACAAGAAGCAAATTGTATAGAGAGACGGATTTAACGAGTTCAACTTTTCGCCGTTGAATACAAAGTGTTTGGCTATTGATGAAATTTGATGAAATTCACGTCGAACTTTTCTAATCTGGTTTCTACAGCATCTGCGACATCGGTGAAAAGTTGGCTCACGATGAATCCGAAACATTTTGAGTTCTGTAAACGTATTACTTGTGTGTACTTTACGAACCCATCAGTCAACGTGAAAATCGATCAAACTGTTTCATAGACATAAAAGATATAGTGAACGATGATGTTTACCTTAGCATGTGCAGAGCAGGATGTAGTATTGAATGGATGCGGTAACGGATGATGAAATTGAACGGGTATCGAGGGGATCGTGGATTTGAAGAGCGGCGTTTGCAAGTAGGTAGGCATGAATACTTTACTCGTGTCGAAAGGATCATTTTCGTTCACTTCGTGAAGGAAGTTTGATGTTTTGAAAGTTTTATCGAAGGGCTCGCTGTCCCATATACTTGTGGTCGGGTCTGTGTTCGTGAAAATGTCTTGGGAATTGAATTTGTCGTCTCTCGAAGAGACCTTTTCCCCGGACTTGGCATTATCCTTATCACGAGTACACGATAACGAGTTAGCGACAGTTTCCATCAAGTTATCGTGTACATGTATTTCGTGCAAAAATCGACCCGGGTCAGCGGTTTGATCGTATGACGTGGATGACACCGGCAGAAGCGACGTTTTGTCCGCTTCTTTTACGGTTTTGCTTGATTTTGCAGTCAACGAATTGAAAGGAAACGGCTTCGCCGCTGCGCTTGTATTGTCAGGCGTCGTGTTCGATCGTTTGAGCGAATCATCCGCGGGAAAGGGACGGAAGGAGGACAAAATTGGCTTTGTTGAGGAAGCTTCGCATGGATTTGTAATGACAATACTAGGTGGAGGGCCGTGCCGTAAATGCCCACTCCATGCAGGTCTCAAGCTGTCTAAACTGCGTACTGGTTTCAACTGAAAGTTGATGCACGACAAGTGTTTACTTTCTTCGTATACAAAAAAAATGAAAAGAAATTATCTAGTATACGAATTATGAAATATGTCAATTTTATCGATTAAGGAGCAATAATTGTCGGCTTTTAATGATATGTGATTCACATGCATACATAACGACACGTTAATCTACTTATACTATTATATCGACTAGAGATAATAATACGATGTGTCAATATATCTAATGGTGCAGAGATACATGTATGTATGTATATATATATGTATATATATATATATATATGGTGCACAGATAAGATTATATGATCAAACTATTAAAATTTAGTAAGGACTAATAGCTTTGTCACTTCTTAACATTACTGTCATCAATCTAAACCAAGGTAGCCAAAAAGACGTCAAGAATGCTAAAGTATACATAGGGGAGTATACATAGAGGTGGAGAATTTTAGATGAATGGAGATGATCCACATACGAGCATGCAGAATATTCTCACATACTGATCGCACTTTTTTTTATGCGTACGCCTAATGTCTCTGGATGAAATTCACAAGCACATGCTATGCAGAACTTGATCTCGCCATAACATATAAGACACCGAGGGTACAAAGTACACTGCCTGCGAGGACATCGATAAACGACTCACAAAAAGCAACAGAAGTTTTCACGTGATCAAAACGTGATAAACGAGCGACTGATCGGCGAAATTAGCGTTTGCGAATTTTCCTTCTATCACGCTAAACGATTTCTCCGTAGTTGAAAAATTGAAAGAACGGGAGGTTGCATACTCAATTGTCAAGGACGAAGAACAGTGGTCGCTATACGGTTTTTTACACGCAGAGATATTTCTTTTATCGCTTTTCATACAAGAAACCTCCTTTGTGTGAATCGTACAGAGAGAGTAGTAGTTTATAAATGCTGGATACGCTAACTTATTTAACTGATTACATCACCGCGAGACAAACTTACCGTTCTATCCACAGGCGGTGTATTGGGAAATATTACATCCCGAAGTTCCTGCATAAGATCTATGTTTATGCGTTCCGGAGGAGATTCGGATTCCTCAGGAGAACTGGGGCTTAACGGTGAGTATTGTTTCCTGCTGCAATACACAACACAAATTTCTCTTATATATTATTCTCGACGTACAGTTACAATTTTCTAATGATCGTTCGTGTAATGTGAAAACGAAGTGTACATAATTGCAATCGACGTACCTTGTATCAGCAAAATTGCTATTCCGCAAACGCAATTCTTTCCGGTAGCTGGTCGTTGCCGATAGTCCATTTGGAGATTTCGGTGGAGAGTTGAATCCTATTGGTCTTCTATCCAACGTGGGTGAGCTGGGAGCTGATCGTGGCTGATGAAATCTCATACTTGCCTCGCTTCTATTAGACCGACCTGCACAGATAAACAATGATTTATAAATGATTATTTAGTATTTAATACAAGGTAATAATAATATATGAAAAGAATAAGAGAGAGAGAGAGAGAGATTACACACACCTTTCCATTTTAGTCCTTTATATGCCGTTTTCATATCTTTCCCCTTGTCCTTAACCTGTGGATATTAAGCTTTCTATCATACTTGTTTCGTTACTGTTGATTATTATTAAATTATGATCTCGTATTGTTATGTTACATGACAATACAAGAAGTTACGGGTAGGGAATATCAGAGAAACGAATATAATATTCATACAACGTACGCAAAGTCATAATTTGGATTAAACTCACTGATTTAACTGCGTACTTTACCGCCGGATTGGCCTGCAATCGAAGTATATGTGGTATAAAACAAAACTATACTGATCACTTCTGAATGATTTTAAAAACACCTTGGTACGCGCATATACGCGTCCGTGTGTGCGTGAGCGCGCGATGCTTAAATGTGCTAGACGGCAGTGAGCTAAAGATAAGCTATGTGATAATGTTTAAACATTTTATCAAAATGCTATTAACCTTATCTTTTACGCTGCGGAAAAACGCAGAGCTTTCCTTCCGCATGGTGTAAGTCCACTCCCTGTACTGTTGCATGAATTTACTACTCGATTTGGCCGAGTAGCTGCAGGCTTCCATTTCGAACTCGTCCGAGAAACCAAGTCCTGAATTGAGCATGTTCAATCTTTCCTCTATGAACTGAAAATATCCCGAATATTTATCACAAGTGTTGAACAGAACAGTAATTACATATATTACGCATGCGTGTGCAATGCAAAAAAAACGGCTACCTGTTGAAAGATTTGTAACTCCAGCATCTTCCGCAGAAACGGTTGCATGGAAGATGGCCTGCTCTCGACAAATGCGTTTTGATTAAACGTAATACGCTCACCCTGCTGCAAGGTTAACGCCTCCCTGTAACCCGCTGTTAACTGTACTAACGAGCGCAAAAATGCCCTCGACACGCCGTCACCGAGAAGCGCGGGTCTATTACGTAACGCTTTCTTCAAGTTTGTCACCTGCAACACAGAAACTTTTTATTTTATTACTTAAGACGTATATTAATTCTTAACGATACATCAGATTATTGTATGATAACAGTATGTTGCTTTACGCACTACGTCCTGAGGCAAGGACTCTAGATCTTGAAACGGTGAATCGATTGTATTGTTATCGGCATCCAGAATGACAACTTCCCCTAAATCACTCTTGCGCACTTTCTACAAGAAGAATATTTTAATCGTACGTAAGTTATCTATGTGACAATGTAATGTCCTTTGAGATAAAACTTTTGGTTGTGAAGCACACCTGAAGCGTTGCCGTGGGCACTCCAATCAAAAACGGCATAGGTGCTAATAAATAATCTATCAGTGACAGGGGTAGAACAGGGATGTATATGTGCTGCCAAATCATTGGATAAATTAATGCATTGCATGCTTGTACACATGCGCTTAATCTCGATAGACGTTTTGAGGTGAAAATGATGCGACGTTCATACAACATGGATGCAAATACTATCATCATATTGTGTGAATCGACGGCGCTATAATATTCAGTCAAATTTCTCTGAAACAATAAGATAGTCGGTATAAAGAGATAAATTTTATGCTTAATTTCTCTCCAGCATTGTATCTTGGTACGGATTAAAATGTTCATTGTTGATAATATTACTCACATTTTCTGGAATACTAGGAAGTTGAAATTGTTTTGGACTTTGACAAATGAAATTCTGAAAGTGAGACGAAATATTCTTAACATATTCAAGCTCGCCGAAAAAGATTCAATAAAAGAATATCAGAGATATTTCTCTACTTAAATTAGAATATTTGGAAAAAGTTTCATCTGCTAAATATAACAACAAATTACCGCTGTAGAATTTGGCAAAGGGATGGATATGGAGTTTCCAGGAATTGGCACTCCGCAAGTATATAGATTTTCGAGAAATTTCCACAGATCTTCTCCACTGGCATTGCTGGTCAAGGATGCAATGTGATTTAATAACCTACAAAATTCAAACGTTTAAAATTTGAATATTCATGTAAATATCATCTGAGTTCTCGACATATATTCTACCAACTTATAAAACGTTTCATGCCATGGTAGCGCACTCAGGACTACTAGAGCCGTATCTGTTTTTGGATCATGACGGCAAAATCCAAAGGTCCATTTTGAATCTATACTAGTGAGTACAAAGGAGAAATGTTGCACCAACAAACTGAAACGGCAAAATATCATTTTTATCGTATGAAGACAGAATTACGACGATGTTGTTACAATTAAAGAAAAAACATACTTTTCAACTTCGCAAGGGTATGCAAATTTAGGGACAGATTTAAGTATTTCTTCGTCCGAAAAGGAATTTGGATATTTCTGAAGTATCCAAGGCGGCTTCTCCCCTACCGGTGCCGCTACCTCGCAGAAGCACTCAAAGAGTTGTTTAACATTTTCTCTGAAAATATCGGGGCCCTATGTTTACGCAATCTGAATCAAATGTATCTTGTAAGTCTCGAAACTTCGGTTTTACTTTGAAAAAGACTGGCTACATTACGGATAAATCATCAATTATATAAGAGGAGGATATGCGTATATTTGTAATTTGTGCAACAAAAAAACAAAGCGCAACACTTATCGTTTCGCTGAACACGACAGAAACATTTTGCATTGCGAAATAATCAGGCGCAACGCAAAGAAACGGCAGTCGCTTTCACCGCGTTTCGCACGAGATGTCTGTGACTGTGCACACAACGTGCAGATATAGAAAATAAACTTACCGTAATCTGGAGCCCATGATAATGCCTAAAAAAAAATAAGTACTTCGTATGATCTTGACATCTATACGTCATCGCACTACATGATGACGATAATGCACTTCTATTCTTGAGAACTTTGAAAACGTCGTGGCCGCATGTTGCAGATCAATCAATCGCGACCAGTCGTGACACGTTAACGTGATGCGTTCGTTCTGGCCTTTTCTCCGTATCGGGACGTGGAAAATCACCGTCAACTGTGCGAGATCGGTGAGCACTACGCACGGTATCCACCACACTCGATCATGTTTCTCGTTGAGATCGGATGAATCGGAACGAACATAGGTCACACAGCAGTGTTCCTAAGATCCGTTTCCAATGTTGTAAAGTGGTGTGTCTGACGAATGATAACGGCGATAGCTACACCTTCCTGCACATTCCGTGCGCTTAACGCGAAATGAAAGTGCACTCGTGACTCACGTCTGTAAGTAGGTGCTTTCTAATCGAATGCATTCTATCTAGGTATCCGTGCGTCATATCCTCCCTCTAGAGAGGCATTTCGGAAGGACAATTACACGTAAAATAAATGTCTTTTTCTTTTTTATGCTAATCACACAGGAAATAATGTTATATATCAACAGGCTGGACACGTCATTCGTTCGTTTCAGGTGAAACAGGAAGTTGCTATGGAAGATATCTTATTAGTCTTATCCTTTGATTACAGCATCCTGCAGCTGTAATATATATATATGTAAAATATTCATCTATAGCACGTCGTACGCGATATAATTTATTAAATATAATATACAGATATGTATATATATAAATATACTATAAACGTTGTTTGACACTTTTGTTGTTACTTTCCCTAAAACGGTGGTAATTGTTTCCTTTGCAACAAGTGCAGCGACAATGATTTATCATCATAAATACATATATGTACACATTGTAGTTAATAAAGGCAGTTTCAATAGGCGACATCGAATTTGGGGATAAAATTCGATTCGTTTGTGCAACTTCTCTAACATCGGAAGAAATACAGCACCTGGGAAGAAATGACCATACATGAATTTTGTCTCTAAAAAAAAAAAAAATACTGTTGTGCGAGTATAACTGAAGTAAATATTTATGGCTGCCCACGATATAAAACACTTAATCAAAACTTTTTTTCCGCTTTTCATTCAACAGTATTTTTATTTCGTGTGGACATAATTACATATAATTATATATGTAGTCATATAGAGATAAAATTCACATATAAATCACATATGATTACATATAATTATACATAATTTTTTTACAATTATATATAAATCTTCTTCCCCGGGTAAATATCTCAAATTATTTAAATTGTGCTGAATTGAAACATCAGTCTTCTCGTTGTTAAACAAGATCTCATATAACTTTGTGAAAAGCTTCAAACGTAATGTCAACAAACATCTTTAATTCGAATCAACACAGAAGTGATCTCAGCGAGGCAATAATTCCACAAATGTTAAATATCACCTTTTAAGTTTCCTTAGAATTGTAAATCGCGTCTCCTCGCTAGTCTAAGGTGTCTGGAAAAAAGGAAAAGAATATTTCACACACTTACACGCAACTACTATATAAAAACAAGAGCCAGATTTGAGAAGGAATCGGGAGATTAAATAAGAGATTTCGCATTTATGTAAAAACACGGGATATTCAAGTATTATCGAACATATTAACCAGTTATCTTCCGTTCTCAAAAGATAACTGTGTATCATCACAAATACCGGTGGAATCGCTCAGTTGACGAGCAAACTATGACTAAACTTACTACAGGAGCATCGTTGTTGGATTTTCCATTAAACTTTTAAAGGCAGATAACCATTGTGCACCTATTGCACCATCAACAGAACGGTGATCGCAACTGGCAGTCACAGACATGCATTGGACGGTCGAGAATCTGTAGAAATGTGTATACATCAAGAATAAATTTTACACACGATAGCGTGAAACTAGTTCGTACGTTTTTACTAAACATCACAGTAATATTAAAATTTTTTTTTTGTAATCTCGCATTAAAGAATATTTATTGCACAGCAGTAGTATAAGAATATTTACCCCTTCTCGTTTTTGGCGGGCACCAATTTAGGTTCTGTGGTGCCTGTCGCAAGAATGATGGACTGCGGCGGGTTTATTATAGCGGCAAAATTCTTGGTTCCGAACATGCCCAAGTTGGACAGAGTAATCGTCCCTCCTTGGAACTCCTTCAGCTGTAGCTTCCCTTCCCTCGCCTTTGCAGCCAACACTCTCATGTCCTTACTAATTTGAACAATACCCTTCGTATCAGCACCGAACACTATGGGAGTGATCAGACCGGTGTCCGTACTTACTGCTACACTAACATCCACATTATTATACCTGAAGAGAAATATATATTGTTAATGAAATTATTCGGTACAAAAATGTCGTATAAACATCAGCTTAGATACGGCCGACTGTCACTTATGGAATAACGAACGCAAGCATATACTCACAGTCTGATCACGTTTCCCAACCAGGCACTGTTGGCCTCCGGCACTTTCTTGCAAGCCATTGCTATGGCTTTGATGATTATGTCATTTACGCTCAGCTTTATCTTATCCTTTTCCAACATTTTGTTGAACTGTTCTCGCATTGCCATCACAGCATCCATTTTCACGTCTACCGAGAGATAATAGTGCGGGATCGTTAGCTTGCTTTCCAGCAAACGTTTAGCGATCACCGCCCGTATATTCGATACAGGAATGTCTACCCCGGTTGCTACACCAACCGCTGCTGCTGGCGCAGTGGGCGCACTGCGTGCGGTGGGCGCGGCACGCTCCAGATCTTTAGATGTTACCGAACCGTACAATCCTGTTCCTTTCAGACCCTGCGGGAAATGAAGCGAAAATGTGCAACGAACACACACTTGTTAGCTACTCTTTACAAACGCGAATCAATTGAACAGGTTTGATATCAGCGTAGCAGAAATCCACAATGTTACGATTACCTGTAAACTAAGTCCTTTCTCAGTTGCTATTTTTTTTGCCAGTGGAGTGGCATATACTCTTTCTGCAGGAACAGGAGGAGCCACTGGCGCGGCTGGTCGTGCAGCAGGCGCCGAAGGTGGTGTGACTGGTGGTGAAGGTGCTGCTGCGGGTGGAGGAGCTGCAACATCTGTACCGTCATCCTGAAAATCTTTGAACGCGGCTACACTGGCCTGATTTTCCACGATGATGCAAACCAGTTTGCCTATGGGTACGTTCTTCGTTCCTGCCGGTACTATGATCTTAGCCAGATATCCTTCCTCGGGTGTTTCAAATCCCATTGTGGCTTTATCCGTCTCGATCTCTGCTAGTAGGTCACCTTCATTCAATTTATCACCTGGCAAAGGAAATGTGGAAAAATTACTAGATGCCTGCTGAATACCTCGCAGATTATTATAGTTCTTGGAATGGACATTTTTGTAGAAACAAGGGACTGATTTGCCAGCATACATCAACTGATATCTCACCTTCCTTTTTCTGCCAACTAACTATCGTTCCAGTTTCCATAGTGGGAGACAACGCTGGAAGCTGTACTTTGATGTGAGCGGGATAATCTGCATAAAACCTGAACTGCTGTTGCCATGGTGTTACCATTAAACGCAAGGTATTGCGATGTTGAGGCCTGAGCACCGAGGAAAGCAGCGTTACTTTGTTGGTGCATTGTTCCGTGTGAGGATAAATTATTGTGTTACATAAATCCCTCTCTCTCTTGAGACTATATTTTTGACTATGCCGGCGAGATTAAGTCGCAAATGGTCACACTGACGGAGACTAAAATCGTCCGTGTTAGATTCATACCGAAGCTAAATTGCAACATAACCTTAACGTCCGAGCTAAAATCGCAGCGACAACCGATTTGCGACACAGATTCGAGCGTACGGACGATTCTACGTAGCCGACGAGATACCTCTGCTGGTGTTTTCTGTGAAGACATCGGGTCACTACGGATCTCACGGCGTTACTTCGCACGGGATCGCGAAATAACGTACGTGCCAATCCGTTACGTATGCTCGACGTGGTCCGTATCATGTCTCAGAATTCCCGATGACGCCGGTCGGCCGAAAACCTCTTGACGAGTCCAAGGATCTCGAAACCCGCGTGACGACGACGACGATCCGTCAGTGATCCGGGACCGTTTGGGTAAAACAGATCAAGATGACAAACGATACAGATGACGAACTAAAGGTTTGCAGAGGACGTCGACAAGGTCACGTGCATCAAATTTTTCCACTTTTCCGGGGAATAAAGGTTGGCGGTTGCACAAGACGAAAATCTTTCACCGTTCTTCGAATATCGATCGTAACGTGGACGGATGAATGAAGAAAAACAATGACAGGTTGTGAGTCTCGACGATGAAACTCGACTAACTCGACCACGTAAATTGATACACGAAACTTCCCAAAATATGATATCGACCGGAAAGAAATTATGGTAGGGACTTTCACGTGAAACACGTACGTAGAAATACCTCAACACAGTTTCTTATTCACCGACGACTTTTTTTGTTAATTCAGAACCGATTTTGTCCTCCTTTGAATCTATATTTCAGAAAGGCGTAGAATGAATATGCTCTCTATTCACGCATCGGATGTTGCGATTGAATATTCGCGCCGTTATCTTGACCCGTCGATGCAGCCCTGCGAACGATCGATAACTTACCTGCCGACAAAATGCGGGCAGGGATTCTCATGACTTGCCGATCGAGCGATTCGAGCAGTCAGTAACGAACTTTTAGTTGCACTTGCCGCCGCACAGATTGCGCTGTTGCGCTTACGTGTGCGCAATTTAACGTTCGCTTGGCGCGCGCGATTAGCCACTCGAGCGAAGCTTTTGCGGAAAAACGCGCGAATATTCCATACATCTGTCCCATCCTGGTGATTACGAAGGAATCTCGATGGACTTGAACGGTTACATTCATACATTCCGTATGTCTCTCCCCGATCTCCACAAAAGATAAGAAAAGGTTACGTTGCGTGGTGTCTTCTTTCTCACGTCACGCGTTTCTCAAATTAAAAGATTTTTGCCGATCGTTTGCTACACGTACCGAGGTTGTCTTTGGCGACTGTTACGCTACAACGTTCTTTTGCTATTTCTTTTTGCTATTCCCACAAATCATCAAACGCGCGAAAACATTCCGGTACAATTTGGTACACTTTGATTGCAATAAGCTATAGTTCAATATCGGCCATTATTAACACCCACCAGTTTCGTCATAATTATCGATCGATTCAAATCGACTTTCTCGATATCGACGATCACTGGACATTTTGCATTTTAATTCCCAGCCATTCCCAGCCAACCACTGAACCTTGCAAGCACACAAGTTATGAGGAACAGAATTTCGGCAATGTTCCTAATCCTTCAATTCCTTACTCCCTAATTGCAGATCGAAGCACCGATTCAATTGCCCGTAATGTCGAAATTTCATACCCCGCACCCTCATTCCTTTCATTCCGAGGCCTAACGCGCGCGCGATGCGGACGAGGGTCTCGAGCCTGCGAGCGTGCTCGTATCTGGAAGCGGCACGCGGGCAACAGTTGGCGGTCTCAGGCTGATTAGCGTAAGCGCGGCCTAGGCGGCCGGCGTGTCTCTAGTCTCGCCTTGGAGCAAAATAGAGAAACGAGCCGCGACAGACGGCAAACGCGAATTGTTCGTCACGCGTCGTCGCGTCGTGGTACGATCGGGCGCAAAACTGCCGACCTTCATCCGCCGGTGATTAGTCACTCGAAGACGGAAGAGAGCCGCCGCGGTGTCGTGCTCGCGCGGAGTATCGCGCGGTGATATCGCGCGATAATAAGCGCGTGTGATGCCGATCTGCTTGTCCTGCGCCAAATCGGCGAGATTCGCTACGACGCGGGACTACGTCGTCGTTATCGTCGCGTGTGCGCGCGCGCGCGCGCGCGCTGATAAGAGAAAACAGACGCGTTTATCCGCCGATTGCACGAGTTACGCGCCGGATTCCGATGTGCCACCTGCCTCCGCATAGCGAATATCGATTCCTCGCGCGCGAGGAGTAACCGCTCGCTCCTCGCAATTCGCGCGCGCCCTGTGATATCGCGCGCTCGATCGGCCGGACAAGTGACACGAGTCGCGATTATTACACGCGCGGGACGATCCGTCGCCCGATGACAAAGAGCGAACGTGAGATCAGAGAGAGGAGAGAAACGTGGGGAAACTCTTCTGCCTGCTTGCGCACGTCGTCGCGCGTTTCGCGGTGTGTGTGTCTCTCTCTCTCTCTCTCTCGTCGCGATCGGATACACGTAATCACGGACCGCGTGCGAAATGAGGCCTCCTCCTGCCGGCTCTTTGCTACTCGCCGCCTGGACGATGAATCTGTACCTCGCTAGGATATGCTCGTGCGTCGACACGAAGATCCTGAGCCTCTGCACGGCCCAGAGCAGCTGCGAGAATTGTCTAGAGGCGAGCTCGGCCTGCGCGTGGTGCAGCCACTGGGTAAAATTCTCCCTCCGGAGCGATCACTCGCCGAAATGCGACTTTCTCAGCGTGCTTACCTTCCTTTGAGTTTCTTCCAAGTAACGGCTACCTTCGACGAAGAATATTTTCTTGTCACACAATAGTCTTGAGATACACTCGTCGCAAATTTTAAAGAAGCTCATTATTACGCGCTCGAAACTTATTCCGCTCTTTTTTGAAGAGTATTGATAAGCTCTATCGAGATAAAGTTAAGTTCGGCCAGTTTGACTGAAGCGAACCGAAGTTTGTCTTTAATTTGATATTCTTGATCGAAGAGCTAATTTTTCTAGGATTCGGGATATATTTTGACTAAGTTCGATGCTTATAACGAACCTGCGATATATATATATATATATATTTGGGAATATATAAATTTATGAAATAATATATTTGAAACAAGTAGTAACGGTTGACTTGAATGCAGTATGTATTTTTCTGTCTTCGTTTTTGTCTTCGGAGACACCGAGGATACTTCAGGTTTTCATTAACGCGTCGAATGTCGCGGGAGAGTGAGGGAGAGAGGACGGGAGGGTGGAGGAGCAAAGGCACTCGATCGATCCGCGTATACGTAAGATGCACGCAACGGTATTCGAGGAATTATTCGCGAATTATCGGTGGTGATTAAGAGAGGCGAATGCACACAGAGAAAAAGGTGTTAACTTACATTAGCGGGAATATACATTAGATGCGTTACATACGTCAATTTACATTAGTGCAATTAACACGACGTGTTTGCGTGTTTGCGTAATTGCGTGTTTTTCTTTTTTATTTGAGATAAGAGAAACGAAATATGTTCACCGATAAAAATGAATTCGGTGCGCGTGCGAAGGACGAAGGGCTGAATCTCGGTGAGCCTCCGATAAGATCTCGGCGACTCCATTTCGCAGCAGATTCCTTATTCCACCGACGTCCAAATATGTTCCTCGTTTCCCTCGGATTTTTTTTTCTTCTTCAACTCGCTCTTTCCTCGTTCACGCAGACGTATTCGAATTCCACGCACGGGAAACCGAGGTGCAACGTGCCGGAGCGCCTGCGTGCGTTCGGCTGCCCGGCCGCGGAGGTACGTACGGCGCCGCCGGGATCGCTGGAGTTGCTGGTGAACGAGGACTTCCAGGACGTCTTCAACGACCGCGCGCCAGTGCAGCTAAGACCGCAGAAGCTGCGGCTCAGGATCAGGCCGCACACCAGTCAAGAGCTGACGCTCCTCTACAGGCCGGCTATGTAAATATATGACATTTTTCAAAGATAAATAAATAAGTAAATAAATGCGCGCCAAGAGAGAGAGAGAGAGAGAGAGAATAATTAATAAGCGACTCCCGCAGGACGGCGATGCGACCAACATCGCGTGGGAAGTCGTTGTCCCACATGATTGCGAAATCGCGTGTCCTTCCTCGTTGTCCGACGTCAGCGATCTCCGCACGTTAGATGACGAATGTTACGTTTCCATCTAATGGGCGCCCGTTAAAGACGCACCGCGTTAAATGCGTGTAGTAACTCGAGGCGCCACGACTCGCTGAACCTCACGGTTGCCTCTTTCTTAAGGCCTATCACACAATAAGTGGTATTAAGTGGTCGCCAGTTGAATGTTGGAATCGCTCGATTTGTCGATGATCCGATGAAAGAATTTATCTTTCGAAAAGTAAATCCTCCCTACGAAATATATTAGAGAGAAGTCGTACCTTTGTCTACCCGTCTATTATTAATAAATGTAGTATCGATGGAAGCCGACGATACGAAAGCCGGACGAAACGTGGAAATTGCGCGTTGCCGTCATTTTAACTATAGCGATAAACTGCGGACTACGCAGCACCGCGATAACGTACGGTACGGAGCGATTACGCGACGATAGAGTTATTCCGAACGGCTATTACTGTCCGGTGTTGAAGCTTCGACCCGCCGCTATTTGTCTAGTGTAGTTTCACAATGACACCCACCGGCGAACGCAATACCGCCCACCAGAATCGCCGAAGGGAGATACTCCGTGACGTCTGGAATGAATCTAACATTAATTTCACGCACGGAAACCGCTTGGCTTTGCTTTACATCATTACATATTAGCCTCTCGTAAATAATATCACCGGTTCTTATCTCGACGGGTAGGTAGATATAGATATTCGCGGAGCGAGTGATTCGCGCGATTCAAATATTTGCTCAATCCGAGCCGTGAACGCTCGAAAATTGCAATTTCACGCTGCGATGCCTCCGGAAACGCGCGCGCGCCTTCCTTCCTTCCTTCCTTCGCAGGTGCGCGAATCTAACGTGAAAAGTAAAGTAAAGCGAAGCAAAATATTAACCCTTTGCACTCGAGGACTCCGGAGCGGAGCCATTTAAAATTTGTCTTCAAACTCGAGGGCTCCGCTATGGAGACAATGCAAATAACTTTCAGTTCATAACATAAGGACAAAGACAAATCGTAAAAACTATTGTGTATAGGATATTCCGCTCTTGCTATTTGCATTTGAGTTTGAAGAGTTTGAAGACAAATTTTATATGGCTCCGCTCCGGAGCCCTCGAGTGCAAAGGGTTAATATTAAAGTACGATGACGAATTTGATAAGCATCGACAAAATGGAAAAAAAAATGTTACGTTACATAAACACCGACACGTTCATTTCTCGCACGTATAGATCTTACGTAAATGCAAGTGGAATATGAATACAAATGCGATGAATGTATGCGTTAGTCTGTTTTATCGTCTCTAACAAAAAAATTAAACAAGACATATGTAAATTTGTTTAAATACTTTGTTTATCTTTCTAGGCTTTTAACCCTTTGCACTCGAGGGCTCCGGAGCGAAGCCATTTAAAATTTGTCTTCAAACTCTTCAAACTCAAATGCAAATAGCAAGAGCGGAATATCCTATACACAATAGTTTTTACGATTTGTCTTTGTCNATTTTTACAATTTGTCTTGTTCTTATGTTATGAACTGAAAGTTATTTGCATTGTCTCCATAGCGGAGCCCTCGAGTGCAAAGGGTTAAATTTGATCGAAAAGGTGTGAAAATGTTTTTCTTTGAAATTGTCCCGATTGGAGCATTTGCTGATTCTGATTAGCACATTCGGTGTGTACGAACGGCAGGATTTCCGTGTGATATTTACGCCAACCGTCAGCTAGAGATGTTAATTTTGATATTTTTAATTTTCGTTCTCATCATATGAACAACGTTCCAATTCATTTTCCTGCGCTTTCATGCATAAAAGTATTTTTGCATAAAAGTATTAACAATTCTGCACAGCCATAATGACGTAAACTCTGCAGAAAGAAATGAGTGTCCAAGTAGCACAGCTAGTTTCATATATGTTATTCTTGAAACGTATGTAATACGATTATGAAACGTTACATGCGTTTAAAGAAACTGACACGTGCTACCTGAGCATTTTGCTGGGAAAGTTTCCAAATATGGCATCTTCTTAATATTGGATGGATGCTGGAAACGACATAATTTCCACATCTCACTCGGCATCAGTAGGTTTCATTAATAAATAATAATCGATAAATAATAATATTTACGAGCACACGTCGTTACGCATCACCACGTTTGCCCGATCAGGAATTACCCCTTGGACCTCTACTACCTCATGGACCTCACATGGTCGATGAAGGACGACAAGGAAACCCTGGTAGGACTGGGCTGGAGAATGGCCAACACGCTCGGCACCTTCACCACGAACTTTCGCCTCGGTTTCGGCAGTTACGCCGACAAGCCCTTGATGCCGTACATCTTCCCCGGCCACGAGGATAATCCCTGCAAGAGCGAGCACGCCTCCTGCACCCCGTTGTACTCGTTCTGGCATCATCTGGAACTCACCGACAACATACCGCGATTCATTCACGAAGTAAGTAAGTGACAACCGCCACGATCGCCGGTCTCCTTGCGCTGATTATTGGCACACACGTCGTCGTCGTCGTCGTTATCTCGCTTCGAGCTATTCACAAGCGTGTGTTTCGTAACGAACCTGCGAGGGCGTGAACGTGCTGTTTACGTGCTGTTCGCGTGCGTGGAACAACTGGTCGGGCCAAGAAACGACGTTATCTGGCTTACATTAATTACACGAGTCATAGGTGAATTACAGTTCAGTGACCGGCAACGTGGATAATCTCGAGGGTGGCCTCGACGGAGTTGTGCAAGCGATCGTTTGCACCCGGCAGGTCGGATGGGCTCATCAGGCGCGAAAATTGATGCTGGTGGCGACCGACGGGCTCCTGCACTTCGCCGGAGAGGGAAAGGTGCGATCGATATTCACCTCATCTCATTGTTAACATGCAATCAGCGGCATGGAGATCATCGCAACATTTGTTTTCAATGAATTTCGCGATGCAGCCAACGGGAGGATCTATTATTCGCTAATTCGCCGACAGATGTTTCGCAAAAACATAGCGATCTTTTCTATTGACTAAAACAAATTTTCATTCATTGTAGCTACTTTTCTCTGGCCACAACTTGAGCTGTTAACGAATTCGCTCGATTTATCGGTCTCACAATTTTCATTTTTCGTTCCAATTTTTTTTTCACTTTTATTCCATACTTTTAATTCGTATTTTTTTTACACTTACATTAAGATCACAATTTACGCTAACGCTTTCAGCTGGGAGGTGTGGTGCATCGTCCGGATTTCCAGTGTCACGTGGATGAACGCGGGCAGTACTCACTGGCGAAGGAGTACGATTACCCGTCGTTGGCGGAGGTGTCGCGGTTGCTGCAAGAGCGCAAAGTCAACCTGATATTCGCCGTGACGGAGGACCGTCGTCACGAGTACGAATTGATCGCCGACCTGCTCAAGGAGCAAGCCCGAGTGGCCACTCTGACGAGGAACAGTTCCAACATCCTCGAGATCATCGAGAGCTCCTATCACGATATCGTGAGCAAAGTGGTGTTGCGCGACAATTCGACCGGCCCGTTGCGCCTCGAGTATTTGTCCGCGTGCGGCGGACAGGCGGACTCGGTGTCGAGCACGTCCGAGTGCGACGGTATACAGGAGGGTCGAGTGTACGAGTTCAAAGTCGTGGTATCGGCGGACGAGTGCCCGAGGAACGAGAGCCTCTGGGTGAGTCTCGCGTCTCCGCGGCAACGTGCAAACTGAACTGACGTCGAAGGAGCGCTTATCTGCACGGACGGTCTTAATTATCGATTAACACGTTAATTGCGCACGAGATTTCATTCAGTGTCTCTATGAACAGTTCATAAAATTATTCCTGTCTAAATTATTTAAATCTGAGCTTGAGTCCTCGTCTAAAGAGAATCCAAACTCGGATTTAATCGTTTGATCGTTAAGTCGGTGGGAACGGAGTTTAACGCGCTCCGGAGATAAGCTCTTCGACTTTAATTCGTTCACTCGTCGTCGTTCGATTCGCCCGGTGATTAACTCCCGCGATAACTCGCCCTTGTTACGTTTCGCCCGAAGAGACAAACGGTGGTGATCGACGACGCGCTGGCGTCCGAGGCGTCCGAGGTGGAGATCGAAGTCGAGCTCTTGTGCGGCTGCGACTGCAAGAATATAGAAAGTTCGCGCTGCGAGCACGGGGTCAACGAGTGCGGCATATGCAAATGCGACTTCGGCTGGTCCGGTAAGAGCGCGTCGTTGCTGCTACGATCACACGCCGGTGTCTTCCTACGTATTCGCGTCTGGATTTTCAATTGAAATCTCTCACGAACCCCCAGGTGACACTTGTGACTGCGACGTGAGCTCCCCGGTGGGAAGCCGGCTGCAGTGCATCGCCGCCGGCAGCGCGGAGGTCTGCTCGAACAGAGGCGAGTGCGTTTGCGGCGTTTGCCAGTGCGACAGGGGCTACAACGGTCGGTTCTGCGAGTGCTCTCCCTGCGACAAGGTAAGAGAGATGGCGTGTCGTCGGGCATTCGGTGGGAGGAACGCTCGCACGACGGTTCGACGCGGCTAACTGTGTCGAAATAATGGATCAAAATAAGGTGGCCGATATAATGTAAAAGACTCCGTTCGCTCGATCTCTGCTAGACCGACGGGATCGAGTGCGGCGGCAGGGGCACGTGCGAGTGCGGCGTTTGCAACTGCCTGGAGGGATGGGAGGGCGGCGGCTGTCAATGTCCGTCCGGCACGGAGCTCTGCGTCGCCCCCGGCAGTGAGGAAGTATGCGCCGGTCACGGATACTGCGACTGCGGACAGTGCCGGTGCGTCGTCGCTCCTCTTCCCGGAGATCTCCGATCTTGCGGATACGATTTTATGAAAAAAGGAAAAAAAGAAAAGGAAGAAATTAATAAACCCCTTGTGTCATGCTCGTAGATGCAACGAGACAGCCGCGGACGGTCTGTACTATCGCGGCACCTACTGCGAGTCGTCCGCGAGCGCAGGTGGCAGCGGTCTCTGTATCCTGTATAATTCTTGCGTGAACGTCACGGTCGAATATCCGGAGAAAGCGGAAGAACTATGTCAGACCGACACGACTTTTTACAAAACCGCGCGAGTGGATACGGTGGATGTGGGTAAGTACATACATATACGAAGCCCGCGTTGCTACGTTGCCGGCGCAACCTACTTAAAGCATCTTCCTTCGTGAAAAGTCGCGTAAAGTCGCGTCTCTCGCAGGTAACGAGCATTATTGTTTCGTGAGAACGGTGCAGGACAAGACGATATGTACGATACCCTACGTGTACGAATTTCAAGAGGACAAGACGGTCATGCTGAGGATCGCCGGCAAGGTATGTATTGCGGAGGTTTGTGAACGCGCGAAATCGACGCATCGTCTTTCCTTGCGGAATTACTGTCTCGATGTTCTATTCTGCTCACAGATCTGCCGCACCCCTATGCACGCCGCCTTCGTCCCGGCGTTCATCTTCGGCGCTGTGCTCTTGTTCGGAATTATCGGCCTGTTAATATGGAAGTAAGCTGCTCGTTAATTCTCTATCGAACAAAGCGCAGCTTCCGAAAAAGATTTTATTAATAATTTTTAATTATATATATATGTAATTTAATAAATTTTAAGTAATGATTAACTTAATAATCGTTATTAATAACAACATAATAAAGTATTTTAATGAATATTTATGAGTGTAAAATGCAACTTTTTGTCTTAGATGCTGGACCACGATAAAGGATCGCAGGGAATACGCGAAATTCGAGCAGGAGCGTAAGAAGACCGTTTACGCTTTGGACGAGAATCCGCTTTATCGACCGGCTATCAGTCAATTTCGAGTACCTTCCATGTACAAGGACGAGTGAGAATCGCTCAATACTCCAATTAGCAACCATCATCAGTTGTGAGAGAATCATGGATCGTGTATGTTGTTGTTGTGATTCTAAGGTATTCCAGACGCATTTAAGACTTGTAAATACTTGCCAAATGAAGTACCGCGACGATTGATCACTCAGTGCGACGCGCGTACGCTTCGCACTCGCTCAATGTTGAAGTAATGTCTTACCATTGTCTTAACATTGTTGTCTAACGTTGAACGGAAGATCATGCACGCTTCCTCTCGAGAACGCTTCGCGTCTCCCTCCAGAAACGATTTCCCGTTGCGAGCGAGATTTGCCGCACAAATGACAGGAATAAATAATTTTAATAAAATAACGGATGTACGTAACGTAAAAATGTGTGTGTTTCTAAAACGGTACTTTTAGAAATCGGCTTGACTGTCCACTCGTGCCCGAGCGGTTCCTCCTAGATGACGGGTCTGAAACAGGTTTGTTTCGCTACCAGATCGCTGTCAACGAGGACCCGTTCGAGAAGATACACGTCCCCGTGTCATCCAACAGTTTTGACAACGTGACCCTCGTATCGCGCGTTATTGTTGCACTTTCTCATACACGCGTGAAGAAAAACGTCCCAGAAAGAAATACCGCAGATATCGTATCATTATCTCTGCTACACGTTATCGGTATTACGACATAAGAATATAATTCGACGTGTTAATCGTCGAATGTGAAAGTCCGCGTCGGCGAACCGATCGCCGTTCCATTTTACCGCCGTCATTACGCGTCAAAATTATCAGTCGCGTATACTCCCACACCTATAAGTGTTAGGTGCGTCAGTGCTGTTTGTTTTTCATCGTGATAAGATCGCGATATGACGTCGATACGATCGCAATCTCACCGAATGTCGGAAACCTTGCCTGACCAACGTGCCCGTATTTTCCCTCGTTCCCGTTAGAAATGACTTTTCTCCAACACCAATTCCTCCAACACCAATTATCCTCTTCGTTTTATCAGTTCTGCCGCTGCTCGACTTGACGATGCTCTTCGGGCCCGTCTATCTCGCGTTTCATATCTTTATATCCTTTTTCCTCCATGATACCCGTCAACACGTGTTCGCATGGATACTTTATAAACTGGCTCGCTTCGTTCGCAAGAATTCAAATCGGGCAAAAACAATCCTCCGCAATCGCGCGAAAAGTAGAAAGCTTTCGGCGCGCATCGCGAACAGAAAGCAACGAAATCCCAGTGAAAGTCAGTCTTTTCGTAACGTTAATCCATTTACGAGAGAGACCACCGTATTACGTTCGAGGAATTGTGCGATTTCTATCTCAAGTTACCGAGGCTTTACGTTTCAACGCAAATCTGTCGCGAAGACGCCACGCGATCGATCGATCGTAGTCGTCGTAGTGCGTCGAGGAGACGCTCTCCTCGATTTCCGGCGCATATAATTCGCGTAAAAAGACTGGTACAGGTTTATTTTATCCTCTCATGTTGCAAACAGTACAAAAATGTCATACAAGATTTCGCTTAACGCGTACGTTCCGCGTCGGGCACTCGTCCGTCGAGATAAATTATGGCACTGGGCGGAGACTGATTAGCATTTTGTTGTGTCTTCTTAGCTTCTCTCTTCCTCCTTCAAAATCTAAAATCGACTTATATATCGACTGCCCGCCGTGAAAATAGGATTTACATAACGAAGAGATTTGGATATGTTGCCATTTTACTCAAAGGTGTATCGTTACAATATTCATCTTGTAGAAGCAATATACATTTCCATATCAATGCGCTCTCTCCTCTTCTATCGCGCCTCTCAGAACTGTCGTCCGAAAATATCCCTTTTTTCTTACCTATATATATATATCCCTACTTAGTACCCGTAATAAAAAACAAAGGTCTCACTTTATTTTCTATACCAAGCAGGGATATATATCCCTATGAATTTCTCGTTACCTTAATGATATCTTAATAATGCACCAGTTTTGTATCAATCTTACTCACGGTTACCTGGATGGTGCTTTAACACACTGGGAAAATGCGATAAATTAACCGTGCTGGATATTTTCCGAAGTATCCATAATAAAATACAAAGGTCTAACTTTATTTTCTATACTAAGTAGGGATATATATATCCCTACTTAATATAGGCGTTCTAAGCATAAGCGATTTCTATACACCCATACATATACACACACATACACATTATATATAATCAGTGGTTATGCCCGCGGGGTTCGTTTCACAACCGTTGCAATTTGCTTAAAATATTGCGCAAAATTGAATATAATATCGAACATGAAGCCAAGTGGAAGAAACCGGAAGAAAGCAGCACGGCAGTCGGGCTCGTTCTAAATCCTCTGCTGCCGGCTGCTTGCGAACGGAAGCCACTTGCAAGACGCTTCTGATGACGCTCCTCCCGCGGCGGCCCCGCGTGTCGGACACTTTGTAACAGCGCATGAGGCGAAGCGCGCGGATGTGATGGGTGCGAGATTTGTGCTTCCGATTACAAACTGTTCCATTTTAGAAAGAGAGAAAGAGAGAAAGAGAGAGAGATCGATTTCTCCTGCATCACGTCCGGTGTCGTTCGCCGCACTTCGCTCCCGCACAGGTGACGTTTCTGCATTCCGTCCGTCTGTATTCCGAGATACAGGGGTCGACAAGTGGCACGAAATCTGTTTGTAGAGAAATACACGCACACATACGCGAGAAATACTCGAGAATTGACAGGAGGATGACGGGTATTACGATGTGCTAAATTAATGCACCGCGCGTATAATCGCTGTGATTATATATATATATATATATATATA